TCTATATCACTATTAAGCAACTAGTAGCAGATGGTGGGGCCTTGTAAGTGGAGACTGCTCATTTGTTTCTCAACTGCCCAGACCCAAATAATCACTCAGAAACTCTATTAATTACAACACTGCTTGGCCTATTAGCTCCGGATTCTTATTAACTAACTCTTATATCTTAAATTAACCCATTTCTATTAATCTGTGTTTAGGCACAAGGCTGTGGCTTTCTGGTAAGGATCTGGTGTCTGTCTCCTTTGGCAGCTACATGGCATCTCTCTGACTCTGCCTACTCTCTCTCTTTATCTCTTTCAGCCCGGCTATATTCTGCCTTGTCATAGGCCACAGCAGCTTTATTCATAACCAATAAAAGCAACACATGTAGAAGGACATCACACATCATCTCTGCAACTCAGTATTGCCAAATTCAGAAGCCAAAAGAAACACCTGACAATTAAGAATACTAAATAGGTAGATTTACACACTTTTTTAAACGCTTGCTGTCCTAACAAGTAGGTATTTGTAGCGCACTAGAGTGCTTTGGGCACTTTGGCAACCTTGAACTTTAGTGACAACATCCTTGGCCAAGCAGAAGAAGCAAACACCAATTTAACACAAGTTGTTGTCTGAGGTTTTTCTGTCCTGCCTAGTTCCTGCAATCATTAAATCTCAAAGAAATCACACAAAAGTCTATATTAGATATAAACTGGCCCACTAGCTCAGGCTTCTTATTATTCTTACAACTTATATTAGCCCATTATACTTGTCTTTGTTAGCCATGTGGCTTGGTACATTCTTTGGCGAGGTAGTCACATCTTGCTTGTTCTGTGGCTGGATCAGGACAGCTGACCAAGCTTGCCTCTTCCCAGAATTCTCCTGTTCTCATTTCCCTCCTCTACTTCCTGTCTGGTTGTCCCTCCTATACCACCTGACTGGTTACTGACCAATCAGCATTTTATTAAAATACAATTGACAGGCTACAGACCATTGTCCCACACCACTACATCTTTAAAAAAAAAAAAAAACTCTGAATCTAATATCCTTTGTTTGGCTTTTCTCCTGACCATTAGCCATAACAACTTGTAACCAACATTCTAAACAAAGGAAAATATCCATAGTTCATTTTTGGGAAATGTGGGCATAGTTTTTTAGGCTACTTCCTACTGGTTGGGGGCACTGATAATCTTATGGGGACCGAAAAAAATGTAGAATTATGATTAAGTCTTGACCGGAGTATCCTGTGAGGCTTGATAATCTCAGGCAGCATCTTGAATCTGTTCTGGATGTAGAACTCAGACATCTGGGCCATCTGTTCCTACTGGAGATTTCTCAGGTGGTCTTCCTTGCTCAAACTTGATTTTTTTTTAACTCAGAATAAATCCATAGCTTCTCATTTTCTGTGGAAACAAAAGCAAAACCTCTTCTCCAAAGTAACATATCTTTTTAAAAAAGATTTATTTATTTATTATGTATATAGTATTCTGTTTGTCTGTATGCTTGCTGACCAGAAGATCTCATTACAGATGGCTGTGAGCCACCATGTGGTTGCTGGGTATTGAACTCAGGACCTCTGGAAGAGCAGTCAGTGCTCTTAACCTCTGAGCCATCTCTCCAGCCCCCAGTAACACATCTTTTGACTTCAATTTTGAAGTCAAGGTATTCTTAAAATACCTATCTTGGATTAATTAAGCAGCATTTATAAGCAAATATCTTTTAACAGCTGTTTCTCCTTCCTCAGCATTCAAACAATTCAAAGACAGCATAATAACATTCAGTATCCAGACTTTCTGTGTCTTTTTTATATTTACGTGGCTTTATTTTAACCTCTATTTCTTTTATTTTTACTTTTACTTTTTGACTTTTTTTTTAAATATTTATTTATTATGCATACAATATTCTGTCTGTGTGTATGTCTGCAGACCAGAAGAGGGCACCAGACCTCATTACAGATGGTTGTGAGCCACCATGTGGTTGCCAGGAATTGAACTCAGGACCTTTGGAAGAGCAGGCAATGCTCTTAACCACTGAGCCATCTCTCCAGCCCCCTACTTTTTGACTTTTTGAGACAGGTTCTCTGTGTATCTTTGACTGTCCTGGAACTCTCTCTATAGACCAGGCTGTCCTTGAACTCACAGAGATTCACCTACCTCTGCCTCCCAAGTGGAATTCACAGAGGTCTGTCTACCTCTGCCTCCTAAGTGTTGCGATTAAAGGTATATGCCACCACACCCAACTACTCTCTTGTTTTCTTTTTTCTTTTAAGGACTTTATCCTTTTTTTTTTTTAAAAAAAAAAAAAAGCCTATATATATTTTTAAACATACTGTAAACCATTTAGAGGTTTTCTTTGTCATTGAATCTATCTTTACTATATCTCTCTCTTTTTCTGACCACGTGAGTCTTTAATTTGCTAAGCAATACAGAGAGGATTAAAACCATGGCTTTGACAGCTGGATCCAGCCCAATCCTTAGCTTTCTGAGATTCCAGCTTCATGGCAGAGGTACCAGCTGGAGCCATGTTTATTGCACAACTCTATGGTGTTTCAAGTTCCCTGCCAGCAAAAAGCTGCTGATGTGGGAGTGATTTCTTATTAATAAAGAAACTGCCTCGGCCCTCATAGGACAGAAAATTAGGTAGGCGGAGTAGACAGAAGAGAATTCTGGGAAAAAGAAGCTGAGGGTGAGTCGCCATGATGCTCCCGCTCCAGACAGATGCAGGTTAAGATCCTCCCTGGTAAGCCAGCTCGTGGGCTACACAGAATATTAGAAATGGGTTAGAACAATATGTAAGAGCTAGCCAATAAGAAACTGGACCTAGCCGGGCCAGGCAGTGTTTGAAAGAATACAGTTTCCGTGTAATTATTTCTGGGTATAAACTAGCCATGCGGGCGGCCGGGTGCCGGGGACGCAGCCCCGCCGCTCCTATTTCAACAAGCTGCAGCAGTGTGCTTATAAACCACACTCAAATGCTCTGTAGCTGAACCTTTTGCCTGAAAGAGTCAGAGTTTGCACTGGCAGGACAGCCCAGAAAGCAGGCATTTTGAAATGGCACAGCTTTTTTGTGCTACAGCTGAAAACCAAAAAAACATGCAGTCAGCTTTTCATCAAAATCATTTAAGTGTTTTGTGGCAGAGCCTCTTAAAAGAGCTACAAGGCTTTGCAGCTAAAGCTGAGTCAGAAAGCCTCCCTTAAATGGGACACATTTGCCTCTAGCAAACAAAGCCCACTTAAAAAATGCTGCTATTAAGAAGCCGCGTTTAAGTCTATTCTTTTCTGTCTAAAATTACTTCCCAAGCTTTCTCAGGCTTTATGTGGATGCAGTTGCCCCATGTTGGGTGACATCTGTTGTCTGAGTTTTTTTTTGTTTGTTTGTTTGTTTTTTTGTTTTTTGTTTTTTTTCCCTGTCTTTCCCAGTTTCCGCAATCATTAAGTCTCAAAGAAATCACACAGAGGTCTACATTAGTTATAAACTGATTAGCCCACTAGCTCAGGCTTCTTATTATTCTTACAACTTATATTAGCCCATTATACTTGTCTTTGTTAGCCATGTGGCTTGGTACATTCTTTGGAGAGGTAGTCACATCTTGCTTGTTCTGTGGCTGGATCAGGACAGCTGACCAAGCTTGCCTCTTCCCAGAATTCTCCTGTTCTCATTTCCCTCCTCTACTTCCTGTCTGGTTGTCCCACCTATACTACCTGCCTGGCTACTGATTATTAAAATACAATTGACAGGCTACAGACCATTGTCCCACAGCAACAAGATAGTGAAAAAATAAGATTACAGTAGCTAAGTAATTATGATTTGCTGAAAATTGGACATAGGTAAGACCATTCTTCATTTTTTGTCTTTTTTTCATGTGTATGTGAGTGGTGTGTGTGTATGTGTGTTTCATGCTTATGTGTGTGCAGGTGAATGTGAGTATATGTGTGAAGTCCTGAGATTGGTGCCAAATATCTTCCTCAGTGACTCTTCTACCTTATTCATTGAGGCAAGGTCTCTCGACAAAATTTAGAGCAGATCTATATGGCTAGTCTTGCTAGCCCACTTGCTCTGGGGAATCCCCTGTCTCTGTTTTCCAGATATGGGGTTACAGGCTTGGAGGCATGCCCATCCAGCATTTATTTGAAGTGCTATAAAGGCTGAATCATCTTCCCTAGCCCTTCTCGTTTATTAACTTTAATGTTTAAATTAAATGTGATGTAGCTTTTGTGTTTTAAAATGGCTATTTGGATTGTAATCATTTTAACAGATGGATGAATTGCATATAGCTATGATCCAGTGGATGGTAAATTTGCTGACCGTAATGCTTCCTGACTTTTCTGACCAAGACACTCTCCCAAAGCTGGATGAAGAGGATCTAGAGACCAAAAAGGAACGTGAAGTAGGAGTCGCAGAATTAGAGTTAAATGCAATTTCACTGGCCAAGCGTTTGGCACGCTACTCCGCCTACTTATACAGGTGATACCTGCTGTTTTCTGCATTGCTGTCTACTTGAAGGTTAATGCATGGCAGGTAAACAAACAGTGCAGGAACAAGAGGTGGATGTTAAGGCCTTGAAGGAAATACTAGACTGAGGCAGGAGGGTTGTGAGTCAAGGTTAGGCTGGCTATGTAATGAAATCCTGTCTCAGAAAAAGAAGGAAATTCTAGTTCAGGTTTCCATCTTGCTTCAACACTGTGCCCAGTGGCAGTGAAGGATTCTTTTGGAAACAGTACTGGAAAAGGGAGGATAGGAAGTGTGCTATGCAGACCCAAGTGTCAGTTTTTAAAAGGGACTGGCTTACATGCATAAATAAGATATATCTTTCACCTTATGTCCTGGGAAACATTTAAGACGCTTGTAGTCTTGGGGCTTGGAAGATGGCTCAGTGGGCAAAGTGCTTGCCCTGTAAGCATGAGAACCTGGGGCCTATCACCAGCACCCACATAAAAGACAAGCATTATCTGTCCATAGTGCTGGGCCTGAGAGAAGCGGAGATAGACAGATTCCCGAAACCTGCTGGCCAGTCTAGTCTAGCAAAACAGTAAGCTCCAAGTTTAGCAAGACTCTCTCTTCCTCTCTGTTCCCCCTCATTCCCTCCCCCCTCACACACACACACACACACACACACACACACACACACACACATACACACACACACACACCATATAGAGAGAGAAAGCAGAATAAAACAAGGTATTTCCAATTCCATGAAAAATTGAATACATAACTTTTGTGTTTCACTAAATACTAATCAATTATCTTTTGTAAAACTGAAAAGCAAAAACAAACAAAAAAGCAAAAACCTGAGCTGTGTGTGATGGCTCACACCTTTAATCCCAGTCCTTAGGAGGCAGAGCCAGGCAGATCTTTGGTCTAATAGTGAGCTCTAGGACAGCTAGGGCTGTTGGACCCTGACGTCCAATCACCAAGGAGACCACTCTCACACCACAATTGAAGTAAGTGCATGAGGATTTTTATTTACTGCCGTGACAGGGCCCTTCAGCCTTGAGAGGAGAAGGACCCTGAATAGCTGTAACAGGCTATTTTTATAGAAATAGAAGGGGAAATAAAGGGGATCCGGGAACCTGGGGATTATTTTTCAACTATTATGATTGGCTTATTCAAAGGGCTACTGAACTGAGCCAGGGTGGGAGAATGGTTGCCAGATCAGGCAGGGTAAGGGGAAGCATCTGTGGGTCATTGTGACCCTATTTCAGGGACTGAGTCAACATCTGAGGGTTATCTTGCCCCAATCCCCATAACTGAGTTCTATCTGGAGAAGATCCACAAGGACCCAACATTCCAGTACGTGCATGTGTAGTTGTTAGGTCTCCAGGGGAGAGGAAAGCACCAAGACTGAGAGGCCTCGGGAATGGCCTCAGAGTTGTTCAGGGCTACATGGAGAGACCTTGTCTCACAAAATCAAAGACCAAACCACTCAACCAAACAACAACAACAACAACAAAGACAATAACAACAAAATGTGGATTTAGTGGTACACACCTTTAATCCCAGCATTTAGGACACAGAAGCAGGAGAATCAAGAGTCCAAGGACAGCCTAACTATATAGTTAAGTCTAAGATTAGTTTGGGCTACCTGAGATACCATTTCAAAAAAAAAAAGATTTAGAAGATTCAAATCAAGTAAAGATGGGACATGAAAATCATAACCTGTGGATTAAATTGAGAGCTGCCTGTGTTTACTTGTAGTTTTGGAAGTAACTCATATAATTGGAGCACTGTCAAATTGAATCTGTCCTTTATTTCAATTCAAGTCACAAATGTTCAAAGGTGAGGCATGAAGGGCAGGAAGGTGATAAAGGGGAGAAATTTAGCAAGGACAAATTATTGTCCTGGTGAAGCAGTACTGTATTACTACACGAAGCTATCATGGTTGGCGGTGTCAGGATTCTAAGCACTGAAAAGACCAGTGATGAGTCAGCCATGCTGGGAATGTTTGTCAGTATCTCATTACTGTAATGGAATACCTGAGATAATTAATTTATAAAGAGGAAGGTTTTATCTTGGTCTACAGTTTGAAATGCCCCAGTCTGTGACATCTTGACCCCAGTGCTTTGGGCCTGAGGCCAGGCAGCACCTCATTGTCACTGCAGGGGTCCATGAGAGAACAGCTTCCTCATCTCATAGCAAGGAAGCAAAAGGGGAAAAGAAAGGGCTAACACAGTCCACTCCAGGGCACACCTCCAATGGACCCACCTCCTGCAGCTTCACTTCCTCCCCATAGTGCCATCTTGGAAGGAGGAGACCAAGTCCACATGATGGGACTGAGCTCACCTGAGCTCACTCTCTCCGCTCATCTCCGTCTCTGTCTCTCCAGTTGCTGCATAGGCATGGTGAGAGCGATGGTTCTGACTAGAGCTGCTCACTTACAGAAGAACCCTGCTAAGGACCTTCAGGAGCTGGATAAGATGAGGGTAAGGGTTTTTATCTTGCTCCTTTTAGAAAAAGATTTATTTATCATATATATAGTGTTCTTATGCATGCATGGCTGCATGCCAGAAGAGGGCGCCAGGGTCATCATGTAGTTGCTGGGAATTGAACTCAGGACCAAGGATGTGATCTTCAAAGACAGAAACCCCACTTCTCCAACCACATCCCACCTTCTGTTAGTCCATTCTTCAAAAATTCTCAATGGACTAACCTATCCATGAAGTTGGTACCCTCTTGTATACCTCTCAATAGGACTACCAGGTGTGGGCCAAACAGTCACTTTAGGAGCCGTTTAAGGGGATGTGTCCTACCTAAACAACAACACAAGTATTTTACTGTATGGATATAATATAATATATATATTATCTATTATCTCTTGATGGACACCTGAATTATTTCCAACTTTTGATTATTATAGGTAAAACTTCAATGTACTGTCTTTGAACAGACATTGGCTTTCTTCTCTTGGAATAGGATTTATATGTTTCTAAGGTGACCAAGTCATTTTATACTACGGCCATTTGTTTCACATCCTCACTGACAGTTGATGTAGTCCATGTTTTACTTACGTATTTTATGTATATGCGTGTTTTATCTGCATGTACATATGCATACCAGAAGAGGGCATTGGATCCTATGGGACTACAGTTACAGATGGTGTATGATATGCATGTCTGTATATGTTTTCTCATGTGTGTGGACACATGTGTTTGTGTGTGTGTGTGTGTAGAGTCTAGAAGTGGACATCTGGTGTCTTTTTTGAGCACTCTTCCACTTATTAAGACAGATTCTTTCATTGAACCTAGACCTCACTGATTCAATAAATATTTGATTGATACCAATATATACACAATACTTAAAAAACTTTGGTATACGGGGATGGAGAGGTGGCTCAGAGGTTAAGGTCGCTGGTTGCTCTTCCGGAGGTCCTAAGTTCAATTCCCAGCAACCACATGGTGGCTCACAACCACTTGTAATGAGATATGGTGCCCTCTTCTGGCATACAGACAGAATACTGTGTATATGATAATTAAATCTTTAAAAAAAATAAGATAAAAATAAAAAAGTTTGGTGTAGAACTAAAATCCATCAATGTGTTTGCTATTTCAATTTGTTGTGTGACTGGCTTTTCCTAAACATGTCTACTAACTCCAGATAGGGAGCCCATGGCAGACCAAAGTAACGATTGTACCAGTGTCTAATGTGGTGGATCAGTGAGTTATATTGGGATTACTTATAGGAATACAAATGAGAGGTTACTTAAAGGAAAAAAAAACCACTCAGAGACAGCTGTATCACCAAAGCCCACTCCAACATGGGTGACAGCACACAAGCTGGGAACCTGGGGCATACTGTACAACTTCCAGACAGGTCAGCAGGTTGGAGAGTGTCCCTTCCAGGGGTGTCAGCTGATGGGAGCCTTTCTCGGGCAGCTCGTTTGGTCTCTGCTACTGGGTTTGTCTGATAGTAAACCTCAACAGTCTTTACTACTTGTATTCTCTTGGGGAAGGAGGGAGGCCTAGTGAATCTGGTCGGTTTCAGGGACTTCCTGAAGCCATTTTGAGTTGTTTATTTCAAATGTTAAGAGGGCTTCCCTGCAAGATGGAACATTTCAATCTCAGAAGTAACTCTCACCCAACACTACTGTTATTAGCAAACAATCATGTTGATATGATCAATTGCATAAAACTTATTAGGACAGACCATTTAAATGTTAGTAAACCCAGGAATCCTTCTGCATCTGGTTTTATAGGACCTTACCATACTTTATCCTATTCCAACCCAAATCACAAACCCGGTTAGTGAGAGATAATGTGATGGAGGCCTGTGTTTGTAGTAAGACCCTCTGTGCAAGTCTTTGAATTAACTGAACAAAAAGGAACTGCAGTTAGAGGAATTGTGCTTCGCAGGTCAGTGGGAGTCAAGGACTGAACTGGTATAGTTCATTTTCTCCCCACAGTAATTACACTGTGTCTCTTCCCAGAGAGAATGCTACGACTGGATCAGCACCTGTTCGCACCTCCTTTCTGACATCAAAGGCAGGAAAATACGATTACTGAAATATGAGGAAGCAGAGCAGCTGCTTGGGGAAGAGGTATTTACCACATGATGGCATTAGTTCACTGGTAAGGAAAGGGGTGGAACAGTCATTAGTAAGGTCATACTCAGGTTCTTCCTGCATCTCAGAGGGTAAGCTGCAGCATCTTTCTGCAATTGCTGTTCTGCATCCTCAGTGTAGGCTCCACCAGAAGAGCATTTGCTTGTGATCGGGAGCATCAGCAGCTCTTCTCCCTTCTAAGGAAGAGACTCCTCTATGTAGACAGCATTTAAAATACATTTAAGATTTGTTTTTATGTCCCCCTCTGCTCTTTGAGTGTGTGTGTGTGTGTGTGTGTGTGTGTGTGTGTGCACCTATGGAGCCTGGACGAGGGCTTTGGATCTGCTGGAACTGGAGTTGTGTACAGGTGTGCGCTGCCTGGTATGGATGCTGAAAACTGAACCTGGTTCTCTGCATGAGCAGTAAGCCCTCTTAGCTGTTGAGCCATTTTTTTTTGTTTTGCTTTTATTTTCGTTTTTAAAGGACAGGGTCTTGCTGTCCTTAAAGTCAGTATGTGGTCCAGCCTGGCCTGAAAGTCACAGATCTGCCAGTCTTATGCACTGTCATGCCCAGCTTGAATCTACGTCTTAAGGGAAGATGACTTTCAGATGGGAATTCTTAAATCTTCCTCGGACCATCTGCTTCTATGCTCACCCTCCTTGCAGCCACCAGGGTTACGTCTTCTTCTGAGTGTTTAGTCTATGGAATATCCTCTCTCCTTTGTATCTTCAACATCTTCCCAGCAGTTCCATCTGCCAACCTGAAAATATTTTATAAATGTGGTCATTCCTTCCGTATTATAAAGTATATCCTTTGATTCTTGCCTCATTTCTCTCTCTCCTTCAATCATAATCACTTTTTGTAATGGTGCTGATCTCAGCCAGGACCTAACAAATGCTGTGCAACCTGTGAGCCGCATCCTGGCCCACGGTGGGTTCTGTTAAAATTCTAAATCTACTGTGAGTCACTGGGGCTTTATTGCCTGCTCTAGAACCTTCAGTCCCCATTTAACCCGGTTTCCCTTTAGCATTTGTCTCGTAACTGTTCATTCCTTTGATGAACTTTCCTTACAAGATAGACGTTCCTGGGTTTTATCCTTGGGTTAGTTTCGACTTCTGCCTGTATGTGATGTGTTGAGACTCTGGCCTTAGGATGTGCTCACTCCCTTTCTACATGGTATTGTATTCATCCAGTTTCTTGTGTGTGTTTGAGATGGGCTCACTTGCAGCACAGATTGGTTTGAACTGTTTGAGATAGGTTGGCCTCTGCCTTGAACTTGTGACAGTCTTCCTTCATTGGCTCCTAAGTGTGAGATTCCAGGTGTGAGCCATCAGACCTGGCTAATCCTGTGGTTTTTAACTTCCCCCTGCTCACCGATGAGCCCAGATCAATGCAAATGATTATTTAACGGCAGTCGCATAGTCTTCCAGTCTCTGACTAAAGAGCATTTACCTCCAATTAGTTCTGAAGAAGCTTCTGTTGCTATGACAGCCATACCTCACAAGTATGATCTGATAGCATACATATTAATGTCCCTGGGTCTGAGAAGGAAGGAGACATTTCTATGTAAACATTTGTAGGACTTTAAGCATTACCTTGAAAAATGCATCTTCAACAAAACCTTTTCTGTGTTGCCCACATCTTATTCAAAATTATTTAAAGTCTATTTCTGGATTTTCTATTATTTTTCTTTGATCTATCTATTTGTGAATTATTACCACAAAATTCTACTTTCTAAGATTTATTTCATTTCCAAAATTGTGTGTGTGTGTGTGTGTGTGTGTGTGTGTGTGTGTGTGTGTGCAGGAGCCAGTGGAGTCTAAAAGAGGCCGTTGGTTCCCTGGAGCGGGGGTTACGGGCAGTTGTGAGCATGGGCGATGCAAACCGATCCCGGTTCTCTGAGAGAGCAAGTGTTTCCTCTGAAGATCTCCTGAGTAAACTGGGAGTATGGGACCTTGGGAGGGTTGAAGTGGGGAGGGGAGAGGCAGGGAGGGGAGCAGGGGAAAATGTAGAGTTCAATAAATATTGATAAGAAAAGAAAAGAAATAGCGTTTGGTGTTAACTTCTGAGTCATCTCTCCAGCCCTACACCACAGTGTTCTACTACAGATGTTTTAGTATCCAATAGGACGAAGCCTTCCTCACTTATTTTTTCAGCATTTCTCTATAATTTAGCTCTAGAAAAAATGATATTTTAAAAAACTAGGATAGTGTTAAATTTATATATTAACTCAGAAAGTCAACTTTAAAATGTTGAATTGTCCTTTCCAAGAACATGGGGTATAATGTGTACTTTTATGCTTATAAATGTTAATAATTTTCTCATCTTGCATATATCTGAAAGTTTTATTTTGCTATTTTATATATTATAAACTTTTTATTTTAGTCTTATATATGATGTGAATTTACTAAATTATATCAGCTTGTCATCAGTTGGTCCTTTTTGTTATCTATATATTAATAATGTCATCTACAAAAATAGTTTTATATTTTTCTATCAATTTTGATAATTTCTAAAGGCATTTTAATGCTTAAATTGTGTTGATTCTTCTTATTCAATGTTAAATAATAGAGATAGCTAGCAGCCTTTTTTTGAAGATGAATTTTTTTGTGTGTGTATTCATGTTATGTACATGTGTATATGTATATATGTGTGTATAGTCATGCAGGAAGCTTTGAAAGCCAGAGGAGGGCAATGGAGCCTCTGGAGCTGGAGTTACAGGCAAGAGTGAGCTGCCTGATCGAGTCCTGGGAACTGAATTTGAGTCCTCTAGAACAGCAGCAAGTGTTCTAAACCCCTGAGCTTTCTCTCCAGCCCTGTTGTTCTTGTTTCTGATTTTAGCAGGAATGCTTTTAATGATTTGCCGTTAAAAACTATGTTGGAGAGTGGGTCTGGTGGTACTTGCTTTTAATACCAGGACTCAGGAGCCAAGTGAATCTCTCTAAGTTCTACAGTGAGTCCTGAGCCAGTCAGAACTGTATTGTGAGACACTGTCTCAAAAAAAAAAGTTAGAAATATACACACACACACACATACATACACACACACACCAAAATGGAAACACCAGTAAAAATTAAAAGCAGTAGACTGACCCACCATTTAATATCTTTATTGTTCCCTCAGAAATTTCAGCCCTTCTGTATGGAGTTATTTTTTCTTCTGCTTTAACCTTTAAAATTCTTTTTTAAAGAAAAAAAACTGAGGATCTATCTACTGGTGGCAAACCAAGTTTTTGCTTGTCTGAAATATCTTTGTTTCAACTTCATTCTTCAAAATTTTATCTGTGCATACAATCAACTCTATAATGGCTTTCTTTTCCCTCCATGAGATTCTCACAAAGCTAATGATGGAGAATGCAGCTGCCAGTTTGAAGATAACCCGTCTTTATACTCTGGCTACTTTTAAGACCTTCTTTTTGCCTTTGGCATTCCGCACCCTCACTCTGATGTATGGTTCACATACATGAGTTTTTGTCGGGATTTGAATAGGCCCCTTTAAGGCATGGGACACCATTACCCCTTTTCTCTTGAGGTTTTCCTGGTGGCCCTCAGACTTCTCAGGCTACTTTGGAATCCTTCTTCTTCTCTACAGTTTTATGTAACTAGTTTCTGTCTTAAGTTCTTGTACTGCTCCACAAGTTTATGTGGAAATGTGATTTATTTTTCTTGCTTTAACTACATGTACACAACTATTAAATATGTAGCCCAAATTGTTCTCTCTAGACTCCAGATCCATAGATTTCCACTTGGCTCTCCCAGTAGTGCCTTGAATGCACACAGCCTTCACTTCCCAAACCTGCCTCCTCAGCCTTGTCCATTACCTCCGTGGATGGCACCACCATGTTAGTGGCATGAGCCATCAGGCACGCACCACTTAAGATGTGCCTTTCCCCAACCGTTTGCTTCCTCATTCCGTGTCTCCTGGATCACCCTTCTCTCTATGGCTACAGACTCGGTATTCATTCTCTCCTTGGATTTTTCTCTTTTCCTTTTTTTCTGATCTATTTTGCTATTTTGAGAATGATTGTTTTAAAATGAAAATCAGATTAATAATTTTTGCCATCTTGTGGATGTTTTGTCATCTTTCTGATATAATGAAGTCTCCTGACATGACAGTTAAGTCCTGGCTTACAGTTGTGTGTCTTTGGTCCATTTGTCTCAAAGGTTCTGTCTTATGAAACCACTTTTCTTCTTGGAGCTAATAGTGCACACTTAAGTGCTTCTGTGCCTTCCTCTATCCCCTTTTCATACGACAAGGAAAAGCTGCCTCCTCCTTAACCAGCCTTCTACCCCCTGTCCTCTACTTGGTGTAGATTGGATGTCCTGTTCCATGCTTCATCCATAAGACTACTGTCTGCAAAATGGTAAGCTTTGTGAGGACAGGAATCATTCTTACCACCGTTTGTGTTTTTTTTTTATTTTAAAAGATTTTACTTTTTATCTTACTATGTGTAGGTTTGTGCACATGAGTGCAGGTACCTGGAGGACCAGCAGATCTTCCTGGAGCTGTAGCTCCTTCTGGTGATGAACTACCTGACATGGTGCCAGGAGTAGTATGTGTTGCCAGCCACTGAGCCATCTCTTTACCCCCTCAACTCCTTTGTGTTCTTATTGATAGCAGAATACTCGGTTGTGGGATCAGTGCTCATTTACTATGAAACTGCTAATATATATCTATCTGAATTACAATTATAATACTGTTACATTGCACAGGAAGCTACAAAAATTTATCTTGACCCAGACAAACCTTTTATTGGTGATGATGACGATGATGAAATTGAGATTAAGGAGCCTAAAATTCAAGAAAAGGAGGAAAAAGAAGAAGTAACAAAACAGGTAAGATTATTTGCTGGGCATAGTAATGGGTGCCTACAATCTCAGCTGCCTGGGAGGCTGATCCAGGAGACCACTTGATCCTAGGAGTTCAAGACCTGGCAACACAGCGAGACCTTGTCTCAAAACAAAACAAAGTCAAACAGCCAAGCGGCCGGGAAGCCAGGCGGAAATGATGTGATTCTTCAGCATGGTTTTCCCTCCCCTCTATCAGACACAGAAGTGGAAGCGGGTTTCCTGGAGTGACCCAGTCAACCTCCCTCTTCCCATCCAGATACAGCCACACCTCCAGCGATACTGATCCTGGGATTTTCTTTTTCCTAAATCCCAGTGTTCTCATTAGCTTCATTCATTGCCTCTCGCTGGCATTCACGCCGCCCACCTCACTCCCTGCTGCTGCTTTTATCTCCCTGCATCGCTAGGTCTCCCTTTGCCTCTGCTTCAGCTTCCCTACGGCCCTTTCCTTCTTCCCCATCTCTAACTTCTCATTGCTCGGACTCTCTCTACTCCTGCTGACAAATCTGTGGCAGTAAAAACCCAGCTGTACATTTACAGTAGTGATAATACAATGACATTACTAGTGACTGAGTGTAGATTATGAGTTCCAAGTTGTGCATGTTGCCCAGGATAACAACTTAGGGTATACATTGTCTCATTTTACAGATAGGAAACTTCAGTTCTGAAATGTTGACAAATTTACCTAAAATCATATAGTTTCTAATGGCAGAATCAGCAATCAAACACAGATGATTGTGGCAGAAGAGCCCTCACCAATGCCTGGACTGATCGCTACTGTCTCTGATTTAGAGCCCGTGCTTGCCTGATGGTCTCCACATATCTTGATGTATGCCTCCTCACATGGTTTAAGTGTTGTCATAGGGCCTTGCAAAATGGTGGTCAATCTGAGCTTGATCTCCAGAACCCACATAAAGGTGGAAGGAAAGAACTGACTCCGTGAAGTTGTTCTTCCTTCACGCATGCACGCTCCCATTCATGAATAATAATAAGCAAAGATTTTAGAAAAAATGTTGCTTTGACCCTGAACTCTATTGTAGGTCTTTAGTCACAATAAAGCAAAACTACAGAACAAAATTATGTATAGCGCCCAGCCCTCCCTGTCTTCAAGCATTTTCTGTTTCATTTTTTGACAAAGTGCTTGGTATATGGAAGACCATATAATTTTCCTTTTCCATTTATTTATAGAGAATATTAAAGTTATCACCATCTGTAAATTTACTTCAGGCCCTTTCTTCTCTATTTCATAAGTATTGATTCAATTGTCAAATATATATTTTTCCGTGATCAGGGCCCCTTTGTGTGAACATACAGCCCTTTGAATACAGGCTAACAGTCATCATGACTGTTCATCTTATTATCTGCCTTTGCCTTTCCTGCTGTGCTAAGTTTCTGTGTTAGTCAGGGGTTCTATATCAGGGGTTCTATAGGAGCAGAGCTTATAAAATGTATATATATATATATATATATGCTTTTTTATAAAGATGGAAAAATAGGAGTCATATATATTCTATGGTTAAGAGTTAGGATTAGGGATATATATATATATATATATATATATGTATATATACACACACACATCCTATTTTTCCATCTTGACTTTATAAAAAAAAACCTTCTCATTCTCTTCTCTATGTCTCCATAGAAAGTTCATTCTGGGGCATGGTAGACTTAGGTCAGCCCTTGATGGGCTTCTATTTTGCTGCAGAACATATTACTTAGGAGTCTATGGTGGGCTCATCCCATCAGCCTTCAGAAATTTGCTGCTACACTTTATGTGTATGTTCATATATATATGAGACTTATTAGAATGGCTTATCGTCTGTGTTCCAACAATGGCCATCCACCAGTGGGAGATCCAAGAGTTCAGTGGTAGTCCAGTCATGTCTCAACTGGTCTTCAGTATTCCCTGGAATCCTGAAGAAGGAGGTTCTAATACTGGCCAAGGAATGGACTTGCTAGCAAGAGCAAGAGCAAACAGGCAAAGAGGGAAACTTGCTTCTTCCATGTGGCCCAGATCAGAGCCGGCTCTGAAGGCTTGAGAATAGGAGTGCAGGTTGTGGCCTTTTCATGTTTCCATGTGGTGGTGTGAGTGAGGGAAGGATACCTACCCTCCTCCCCTCGCCACCTGTAGCAGGTGGGGGACCTGACCCAGCCCCTCACCAGCTGCTGCACTCAGGAGAACAGGCCCTGCACCTTGCCTAGATAGCATGGTAGAGATGACCCTGTAGATAGGGTGTGGGTGAGCCAGCCCTGAGGGGTGAGAGGGGTGTAGCTGGTACCTCCTCCCCTTCACCCCTACCACCTCCAGTTGGCCAAGGAGCTGACGCTCCCCTTTATTAGCTACAACACTTGTCTGGGCAGCACAGTAGAGTTGACCCTGTTTATGGGGGGGGTGTGCTGCAGGTGAACTGCCCCCGAACATGAGCATGAGATATCTGGTCCTGCCGCTCATCTGCCACATGGTGGCATGGACAGAGGAGAGATGCCCTGCTCTCTGCCCCTCTGTGCCTGAGGCAGGTGGGAGAGCTGCTCCTGCCTGTCACCAGCTGCAGCCCTTGGGAGAACAGGCCCTGTATCTACCTGGGCAGCACAGTCCCTATTGCCAGGGTACCTACCAGTGAACCATCTGGAGAACATACATGAGTGCAGGAGATCTGGCCCTGCCCTCATCTGCCATGTGGTAGTATGGGAAGGGGAGAGATGCCTCACCAGACCCTGCCTCCTGTAGTGGGTAGGAGAGATGGCCGAGTGGTCATAAGAGTGGGAGAGCTGCCCTGCCCCCTCACCAGCTGCAGCACTCAAGAGGCCCAGTGAGGATCCATCATCAATACTGTAGCAAAAACCACAGTCCTTGAACCAGACCAATGACTCTTTGCAATGAACATTTGCAAGTAAAGATGTATAAATAAAAGGGTTTACTGTGTGATTCAGTGTATCACACTACAGCTTCTGTGATGAGATTTCCCCCTTTTTTTTTCTTTTCTTTTTTCTTCTTTTCTCTTAAATTTTATTCTATTTTGGGAGTGTGTTTCAAGGGCAGAGGGCAGATATGAAGAGACAGGAAAATGAATGGGATTGAGATGCATGATATAAAAGACACAAAAAATAAATAAAAAATGTTAAAAAAAAAAAACCTGGGTCTTCCTACTTCAAATGACTTAATCAACAAAATCCCATCACAGAGGTATTGGGTATTAGCTGATTCCAGATGGGGTCAAGTTGACAACCAAGAATAGCCGTCACAGTTCTCAAGGGCTGGATGCAGCTCTTTGTTTTGATCATACCCATTTTCTCCTGTCCCCACCCCATCCCCACTTTGCCTATGTTTGGAGCAGGCCTTCAAACATTGTCTATGCGATGGAGACAAATGGAGTGCTCTGCTGTGTGACACATGTCAGCTGGCTAACAAGTCCTTGGTTTTTCCATGCTCTAGGAACCTTCAGTTTCTACAGAAAATGAACAAACCATTCGATACATTGGGAGAGATGAAAATATTCATTGCAAACCTCTGCTTGAAGAAGATATATTTTCATCCTGGGTATGTAACTAAAACTCAGCTAGGAAATCTTAAGAGCTACTCCTTAATGTTCTTTGAAAACATTATGGATCTAACTTTTAGTGCCTTTATTTCCTCTCAGGTGGCTCCGGCTTAGTATATTTTGCAGAGTTTTTTTTTTCTTCTTCTTCTAGCACAAGCTTTAGAAGACTCTTATTTTTCCATATTGACTTTACAAAAACAAAACAAAACAACAACAAAAAACAACCCCACTCATTCCCTTCTCTGTGTCTTCATAGAAAACTCATTCTAGGACCGTGGTAGACTGAGGTCAGCTCTTGATGGGCTTCTATGGCACTGCAGAACACATTGCTTTTGGAGTCTAGGGGCGGGGGCTCATCCCATCAGTCTCCTGAAATTTGCTGCTACACTTTATGTGCATGTCCATGTGTGTATTTTTCTGGGTTGGGAGAGAGGAATCAACGTATGTTATCAAATTTCTCAACCCTCAAATCAAGAGTCTTTCAGTTGTTAGGAGGTGTGAGTCATATGCCTAGGTGGCTGTACCCGGGACTGAGGAGCTATGTCAGCCTGGTGGAGGATGGTACTTAGAGCATGTAGGTGGAGGTCAGGCCTAGAGTAGAGAGGATTCACAGTGAGTTTATCCAAGGACCTTGTAGGCAATAAACCCCACCCATGGTGGAAAGAACTCAGAGAAGTCGTTGTAGGGCACAGTCGGGGCAAGGAGTACATGGGGGATTATAAGCACATTTTCCTGAGTGGAGTCCTGTAAGAAGTTTCTGAAATAATTCTTGGCATCTGCCATCACCACTGAGGCAGATTTAAGAAGTGGCAGTACAAACAGAACAGAGAGATATAAGGCAAGTTCTTTAAAAAGAAAATGCAGAACCGCCAGTCCCAGGCAAAGCTGTTCTTCCTTGAACTTGTTTCCCTGAAGTAAAAACCCTGCTGTTCCATCCAGAGGAGATGTCGGGATCCAGCTTTGGAGATGGGCAGGAAGCAGAGGGGAGCTAGAAGTCTGTAGCTTGTGGGCAAAGCAGAAAACCAGTTAGGATGGACCTCACGGCTCTGGGATGCAACCTGTCTCGGTCAGCTTTTATCCCTGTGACACAATGCCCGAGAAGGCCAACTGAAAGGAAGGAAGATTTGATTGGCTCCTGGCTTCAGCCCATTGTCACTCAGCTTCATTGTGCCAGTGCTGTGGTGGTGTGACACACACACACATACACACAGAGAGAGAGAGAGAGAGAGAGAGAGAGAGAGAGAGAGAGAGAGAGAGAGAGAGAGAGAGCGCAGGTGGGAGAGAGGAAAGAAAAGGAGGATGAGGAAGAGAAAAAGATGCTTAAGTATGCCCTGTAAAGCATGCCACCAGTGAGACTGGCCCCTAAAATCTCCATCTGTCCTATACTTTATCACCTGGGAACGAGGCCTTTAGTGTATGCCCTTTGAGGGGACATTTCAGACCCACTGAGCAGCACTACCTGCTTCTCCTCCCTGGGAAAGGTTACTCTTGCTTCCAGGGATGGTTCAGTTCCATCAATTCCGAGAGCCTTTAGCAGCATCCGGGATCCTCACCATGTCACAATCATCCCAGCATCTCATTACAGAGCAATCAGCTCAGACTCTGAGATTGCAGTTATGGGGAAGAGACGGACGCTTTAAATTCAGCAGGCACTACCAGACAGCTACACTGTCTTAATGCATGTGCTCAGCTGTAGGAAGAGGGCTGCCTGGAGCACAGCAACTCTAGCCAGCAAGCAGCACACTAGAAGCAGGCTGCCGAACGGTCATCTTAAATTCTTGGGTCCCGACTGCCCATAGAGCTACAAGCATATCATGAGTTTTGCTGGATCATATGAGTACCCTTAGAAAAGCAAATTGGAGACAGACTTGGGCTCAGCAATATTCTCAACCCAAGATTAGAATTCTCCCCTTGTCCATTATTTGGGCTCAAGGACTGGTATAAATTTTCATATTGTAATACTATATACCCCAAGAATAAATATTAAGAGCAGTGAGTTGCAGGGTGGTGGTGGTACACACCTTTAATCCTAGCACTTGGGAGGTAGAGGTAGGCAGATCTCTGTGAGTTCAAGGCCAGCCTGGTCTACACTGGGGTTCCAGGACAGACAGGAGAAATCCTGTCTCCAAAAACAGACAAACAAAAAAAAAAAAAAAAAAACCAAAACCAAACAAAAGAGAGAGACTAATTTGTAGATTTATAACAATGATAGGAAAGGGCCCTTAAAGTACCTGGCTCCAGAAAGGTATGTCCTAAACAGACAGGGAACAAAGTCTGGCAGGGAGTCGGGTGCAGAAAGCTGCATCCACAAGAGGCAGGTCTGGACCCGTACCTTTTCAGAGGCCCTTCAGGCCTGAAGTTCAGTCCAAATCCCCTTTGGAAAGCTGGGAAGAGTGAGCCCAAATGCCGAAGGTAGAAGGTCTCAGACAGAGACCAGCCTAAAGGTACAGTGTACGGGCACAGGCAAGAAGAGTCCAATGCACCTTTACGAGCCATGCGTCCATGTTTATCTCTCTCATACACTCGGGTGGAAGAGCAAAAGGAAGCACGGATACGATGTGCTCCAGGCAGTGGCCTGCTTTGCTGCTTCTAAATCAGTATTCAAACCCTAGGCCTACATTTTCTCTGCCCAGCACGATTTATACTTTTAAACAATTATGTCATCCCTAAGGAATGACAATGATATATGTGAAGTGAAATTATTAGCAGCAAATTATTAATAACTGTGAGTAACTTTCTTTAATTTGATTCGTTAGAGAAACATGTTTACTTAAAGCATTTCCACATTTCCTTTTATTACTGTTTCTCCTACCTTTTTCTACACTAATGTCTATCACATCTGCATGCAGTATGAATAATTTAGAATTTGCTGTGCTATTTGGTTGCAGACAATGTCTGGTCTTTTGGATGTTAGGCTTATGAATAATCATCTACTATATAAATATGAGCAATAGAAAAGAAGATTCTAGATAGTTCTTGAAAACAGACTATTAACTATTGGGACTCTCAGTTCAGTCACTCAGATATTTTCTTTGTCAGCGAGAACCAGCTAGCAAAGGTGTATTGGAGCCGAAGTACCTTGAAGTAATGACTGTAATTGAGCACATGCAGGAGAAGCTTATGTAAGTATGAGGTACCATGACGGTAAGAGGATGAAGACTGTGGGCCAGGAGCTTGGCTGACAATGCACATGTCCTAGCTTTCCTTTGTCCTGCTGGTTTTGGTCGGATGAGCAACTGAAAATCTTTGTCTAGAGGCAGTGAACTCCGCTGTTGTGGAAAGAAAGCCCCTTCTTAAGCCACCATGGGGATGGGAGCTGGTGCGGAGATTCGCAATGTGTACATTTGTCAGGAAAGGAACGAGTAGTGATCCAAGTCAGTGGATTTTTAGGAGAAGACTTAAGGAAAAGAATGGAACTTGGAGAAAGCATTGTGCTTGAGAAAGAAATTATACCACCCAGGGTTGAAAGGACAACAGTGGCTGATGATTGTGTGTATGTGTGCTTGTGTCTATATCTGTGTGGGTTCAGGGACTGAACTCAGGTAGTCAGGCAGTACTTTTACCCACTGAGCCCTCTCCCCAGTCCTAAATGTACTCTCGTAAGTATAAAGCACAATGTCAACTGGCTTTCTTGATTGTAAATTCTGTTTTTAGAGGTGTTAGAAAAGAAGAGACATTATCGGGTTTTGCTGAGTTCTATCAATAATGTGAAACTAAAATGAACTACTGATGAAGATTCTCTGGCTATTAATGGGGAATCCAAATATAGCAAAGTCAGATCTCACTAAAAAATGAGAACTACATTCTGTTATTATTTTTTGACAGGGTTTCTCTGGGTAACAGACCTGGCTGGTCCAGGAATTTGCTTTGTAGACCAGGGTGGTCTTGAGATCAACTGAGATCCATCTGCCTCTGCCTTCCAAGTGCTAGGATTAAAGGCGTGTGTCACCACCATCCAGTGCTATGTTGTATTCTTAAGTGACAGTGTAACTTTAGCTGTCACCTGGAGTAACCCCTAGGCCCTTGATTCTCCATTCACCACCAATGTCCCCGTTTCTCTTGATTTCATCTTCCCCATGGCAGTTTTCACACGAGTTTCTGTGTAAAGGAAGGGTATATTTTTACCCTTCTCTGTTCTGTTGTATTTCCCTGGACTTCGTCCTCATCAGACAGATTGACAGCAGAGCCAGACAGGCAGAGGAGAAGTTTGACGAGGTGAATGAGAAGCTTCATCACACTCTCATAAAAAACAGAGATCTAGAGAAGGAATTAGAAGAAATGACCAAGAAAGCCAGAAAGGACTCACGTGTAAAAATAGAAAGCCACAAGGAGGGAGAAGAGGAGGAGGAGGAGGAGGAAGAGGAAGAGGAAGAGGAACAGGAATCTGAACAAAAAGAGGGGAGCCAAGAAGGAGAGGAACACAGACAAGGGAAAAAATCCCCAAAGCATGCAAAGAAAGGTGAGACGGCCTTCTGCATTTTCTGAAGAAGACTTGACTGCACACAGCATTCTAGAAGAGCACGAGCTCTCTATGTTTATTCATTTATCATGGGCAAGTTCCACACACACAAACACAATACACGTGTGTGCATCCCACCATGTGTGCATGTGCACACAACATACACACAAAATACTAAAGTTTGAAAAAATAAATGGAGAGTGACAGAGGGTGACACTCTGGCCTCTGGCCTCCACACATGCACAGGTGAGTGCTCCCTACGCATGTACCCACAAACATGTGTATACCACTCACACATGCATGCTTGCACCCTACACATATACATATACTGCACAAACATGTATATACCACTCACATACAAAAAAGTAGCAATAGAGTTTTATAAATATACTTATGAGAAAACATCTGTAAAATCTGATAGTACATATAGCCATTCCTTTAAAGCTTGCATTTGCTTCTAATAATTTCATTCTGAAGAAATGATTTGGATGTTGTGGTGTGTACCTGTGTCCCAGATACTCAGGAGGCTGAGGCTAGAACATTGCTTTGATCTCATGAATTTGACACCAGTCTGGGAAAAAGCAAGACACCATCTTAAAAATAAGTAACTATGACAGGCAAGATGGCTCAGTGTCTAAACCACTTAGGCACAATACTAATGACTCAATTTCAGTCCCTAGAACTCATGATAAGGTTGAGAGAGAGAGAGAGAGAGAGAGAGAGAGAGAGAGAGAGAGAGAGGAGAGAGAGGAGAGAGAGGACTGTACAAAACTGCCTTCTCACTCCCACAAGTACACCATAGCATGTACCCTCCCCCCCTCAGTACAGCCTGCAAACAAAGGTGGAGATGACACTCAGCTTCTCCAGCTGAATCCTTAAGACAGCCTCTGTCACCTTCCCTTCACAGTTGGTCACCCTTTAATGGCTATTCTAGGGAGAGCAGGCTCGATGACCAGAGGCCTCCTTGTCCCCATCCCCAGGGTACATCTCATATGGTGTGTGTGGGAGGCTGGAGAGCAAGGGCAGGAGATGGCAGAGGGATGTGGGAGCGAACAGAGGAGAATACGGAACTCACTCTGTTTGAACATTCCCTTCTTCGTTACTTGCCTGTAGAATCCTTTATCCCAGGACCTAGAAATCAAGGAGTTAGCTGGCAACACATAAATGTTGGGAAACTTTCTGAATCTCAATAATCAGTTTAGGGTGACTAGTTGGATTGGACTTACCCAGGTCAAATTGAATTAAAAACCAGCTTTTAGAGTTAAGAGCCTTTAGTGCATATAAGACATCAGTCACTAACAATATTCTGGTTTTGTCTTTTTAGAAGCACAGTCCAAGGATGATCCTTCTAGGCCTGGAAGCCGAACTAAACCTAAGCCCAAACCCAAATAGCTTCCTTAAGAGCCTAGGGGTCACAGTGGCCATGCCCCTGAGCATGTGGAGATACTGCTGAGCTGTGGAGTTGGCAACACAGCTCACACCAACAGACTCCCTAGCAACAGCCATTAGAAAAGCCATGCTATCCAAGCCAAGAAGATGTTTCTTTAGAAGCATGGCAGAGGCCATAAGGATTCATATGTGAGTTTACTTGCCAGATTAAAAACAGTCTATGCAAAAGTGTGTAGGCCTCTTCAGTTGCTTTCCCGAGAGTTCTGTGAAAAGTGTTCGTCTCTATGAAGAAAATGCTGCAGCAACTCAGCTCGGGTGGAAGGAAGCAGGAAGTCTTTGACTCAGCAGAGAGGGTCCTGCTCAGCCACTTAGATTGCAGCCACAGATTTGAGTTTCCTGATTTCAGGCACCCTATGATCTCTCTGGTCCTAACAATCCTCTAGCTAGGTGTGGGGAGAGGCTCTTAATCCCGTTTCTCAGAAAATGGGACTGAGCCTCAGGAAGGTTATCAGCCTTCCTGATTCCACAGATCTGGATGGTGTCAGACTGCCCAGCCATGGCGTCCATGGCTTCCATGGCTTCCATGGCTTTCTGTGTTGCTGGAGGCTCTTCAGAGTCTCTGTGTTCTTTTTTTGACAACCTCATCCATTTGTACTTTCTATGTCCCTAAGTCTATACAGGCACGGAAGATGGCCTTTCCTGTAAACGCACGCTGTGAATGACAAATGGATACTGAGGCTGTTGCTCTGTGGGGCTCCTTACTACACGGCCTCTGGCCTGCTTGAGTGAGTTTGCTTATCTCTTGGACTTGATCATCGCTGGGAAGATGTCTGTATTGTTTTGTTCCATATGACTGCTGTCCCTTTGGCTTTCTCTCCTAGACTTTCAGACTTTTGTCTGATTGTTCATCCTCAGAAACCTACTGACTCCAGAGTCCCCAACCTGGCCACCAGAAGAGTATGAGGGATGGGATCAACATTGCTTAGGAGTTACCCATGCCTACTGGAAAGGGTCAATTATACTTTGTGCTTATAAGAAAGAATACATGAAATTCTTCAGACAGTTGGGTGTGTTCATGGCCCAACTGATGGCCAAAGCCAAAGCTGTTGCTTATAGCTTCGACCTGCTAGCCCAGAGCCCTGCTTTCCTTCTTCTGAAAGACATCCCTTGACGACACCAGCAAATCTGGAACTTTTCAGTTCTGCATAATTCTAGAATAATTTTTATTAATTTTCTATTCCATAGGAATGAATGGGCATTCCCATACAAATTAGTAGATCCTATCTTTGAACACAAGAACCTTGTCCTTACCAGGAAGTGGTGGTGCACACCTTTAATCCCAGCACTTGGGAGGCAGAAGCAGGTGGATTTCAGTGAATTTGAGGCATCCTGGTCTACAGAATGAGTTCCAGAATAGGCGAACAGACCCAAAAGCTACAGAGAAACCCTGTCTTGAATAAACCAAAAACAAAACAAAATAAAAAACCCCAAAACAGCAACAACAAGGCTGGCCCTTAGAATGTCAAATCATATCAATCCCATCAGGTATATCTACTGCCACCCTGATTATAATGGGATCTTTTGTATCCAGAACTTTATGAGTTGGTTATAAGTCTACTTTTGCAGGATAATTTATTGATAGGATTTGGGGGAGCTCAAGTAATTGAAATCTTTAGAAACTAGGATGAGGCTGGTGACCACAGCACCTTTGGGAGTTCTCTGGTGTAATCATTGTTTTACCCTCTCATCCCAGATTACTGTGTAACAAATTCCAGTCATTTCTTCCATCTTTGCCTTATTATGTCAATGTCTCGGGTTCCCAAAAGAGAGGGTGTCTATCTCATGGTCAAATACTGTACCACAGATATACCACAGATGCTGTTCGAGATTCCTTTCTGTTGTGATAAAACTCTGACTAAAAGGGGGAGGGTGGGATGGAGCAGGGCTTATTTTGGCTTTCACTCCCATTTCAGAGTCTATCATCGAGGGAAATTATGGCAGGAAGCCAGGCAAGAATTTGAAGTAGAAACCATGGAGGAATGCTGCTTGCTGGCTCTCATTGACTTACGCTTAGCTAGCTTTCTTCTCTAGCGAAGGGCCACCTGCCCGCTGTGGACTGGACAATGAAGTTACATACACAGACATATACGCAGGCCAGACTGATCTGGGTAATCTCTTGGTGTAGACTTTCTTCTTGGGAAACTCTAGATGTGTCAAGTTGACAGCTAAATGTTTTTTGGGAAGTTTTGCAGCCTTTCAGACCTTGCTGTACTTTCTTGGGTCTGTCACTCATTGTATAGGGAAGAACTCTTTGTTGTCCATCCCTGGCATCAGGCTATTGAGGCCCCTTGTGTAAAGGCAGACAGTCAGATGGGCAGACACAGTCAGGCTGACCTCATCTCTAGTAGAGAAGAAACTGATTGGCTGCCTTGTGGCCCTATGACAAATGATTGAGAAAAATGTCTTAACAGAAAGAAAGGTTTCGTTTGTTTTTTGGCTCATGGTTTCAGTCCAGGGCTGGCTGGTCTACTTGGGCTTGAGGTGAGGTAGAATACCATGGTGGTGGAAGCATATGGTAGAAACTATTCATATCAAGGTGAATAGGTGCTGGGAGTAACTGGAAGGGGCCAGGGATAAAATATACCTCTCAAAGGCATGACCTCACCTACCCACTTCCTCCAGCCAGGCTTAGCCTTCCATAGCTCACCATTTCCAAGGGAAAAATGGAAGTTGGTTTATGTTGCCTGTCATGGAAGTCAACAGAGAAACAAGATTTAAGCTGTAAAACTTTACTTTATTCAGTGAGCAAGCAATCTGAGATGACAGCAGATTGAAATCTCAGACCCATGTTCAATCTTATCTCTAACAGATTATACAGGGAGAAGAGGAGATGGGGGGGAGAGGCTGTCAGCCAATCATACCAGACTCAGTCTCCCCCCTCTGGTCAGGAGGTCAGTGACATTTTTGAGACTCATGGCAGATGTCTGTCCTCCTCTCGCCGTCATTCCTTGTATTTTTCCCTCATTCTGCAGATGTCTGGGCTCCCACGCTTCTTGAAACTCTAGGTTAGTGTGTTGGTGTCGAGAGTGTTCTCCAGGAGCACCTGGGCTGTGGAGGGGTGGTTAACTGAACAGACCGTTAGCAGGGTACATGTGCTACCCGTGCTATGCATGTCCAGATTCCTTTCTACAGTACCGGGTACAGTGTGTCTTTATAATGCAAAGTATGAAAGTGCCCATAGCTGTCCTTTCTGTGCCCTACCATTCCCTACTGTCAGCAGTGACTCTGATATCCACAAGATCTGTATCACACGAAGGATAGCATCCTGACACATGCCCCTGGCTGATTATCAGCATAACTTCTTACCAGTAAGGGAATTCTCCAACACATAGTTGTATACATTGAAGTACACTGTACATGACAGTTAGGACTTGATATAAAAATGTCTGAAGTATGCCTGTGTCTGAAACAAGTGTCACAAACAGAATACAAGTAGGAGCTAAAGTTGGAAGGCATTAGGGTTAGGTAACCATACATAAGAACCATTTCTCCATAACCTCTATAACCTGTGGTCACCTAAGACCATCAGAAAACAGTTATTGACATTATAATTCACAACAGCAAAATGGTTATGAAGTAATAACAAAAATAATTTTATGGCTAGGGTCACCACTACATGAGGAACTATATTAAAGGGCTGTAGCATTAGGAAGATTGAAAACCACTGCTCTAGGCCTTAGTTACTTTTTTTTTTTTTCGAGACAGGGTTTCTCTGTGGCTTTGGAGCCTGTCCTGGAACTAGCTCTGTAGACCAGGCTGGTCTTGAACTCACAGAGATCCGCCTGCCTCTGCCTCCCGAGTGCTGGGATTAAAGGCGTGCGCCACCACCGCCCGGCCTTAGTTACTTTTTGAAACGTTGGCACAAGTGACTATTTTTGTTGTTGGCTTTGAGACAGGGTATTACTATGTAGATATGATGGATAGCTTTGTTTTCCAACTTGAAATAACCTAGAATAATCTAAGAAAAATTAATGAGGAATTATCTCCATTAGATTGTTTTGTGGGCATGACTGTAAGGGACTGTTTTAAGGGAATCTGTCAGGAGCCGTGCAGCCTAGTCTCGGATCAGCATATGACTACCTGTTCAATGGGTTTCTGTGGAGCAAGGTAGTGTGGAAACGGACTCATACTTGACAAGGACCAGCAGTCTACGAGACAGCATAGGAATTTGCAAAATTCATGCAGCTTGCAGGCTCTTTTCTCTCTCATTATGCTGGTGATTCTTTGGGTGGTTTTAGTTTTACTTTTTCTCAGTCACACATACAATAGCTGTAATTTTCCCTGAAAATTCTCTTCTTTCTCAGATATGTTCCCCTAAGATTCAAAAGAGGACTAATGCTTTTCAAATCTCTTATCTGGAATTTCTAACCACAACTCCCAATCCTGGAACTTTTCTGACTCAACAGAAATAGTTAATTACGTAAGAGAAAGCAACACTTGGAACATTAGCCATGCCTCACAGTTCTGGAAGGAGAGTAAGGCATGCATATGCAGAACAGGAAAAGACCTTGGAAATACACATAGTGCCATCTGTTGAGAGTAAATTCCCTGGACACCAAGCATAGAATCAATGGCAGGATGTGGTATGCTCCAATGGGAAGAATACAATGCAAAATGTGGGGTGACAGATCCATCTTTACCACACACAGGAAGAAGTACAGTGTAGTGAGAAAGGGAAAGAGTGCTTGCCAAAGTCTGCCTTTTACAGGGAGAGTCATCAGACCCTCTTGGAGAAAAAGGAGCTGCATAAAGATATATCTTGCAGACACGAAAGAGTTGTCTGGTTTGAATATTGTTGTTCTTAAAGCATTGCACCTATGTCTATTACCTTTTAACTTTGTAACCGCAAGTAGCTGCCAGCTGGCATAAGTGCTGGGAGAGCAGGATGTGTCTGGCTCCATATTTAGTTAAGCCTGGAAAACGCTGAACTCTGTCTAGAATAAGGTTATGCAGGGTGGGAAGGTGTATTTGGTGAAGCATAAAGGGAAACAATGGGGGCTTTCATAATGCGCATGATTTTGTGATGTATTAAAGTTAAGTAGAAGCCGATAATAAAGCTGTTCATGTAACCCAGGTAAGAAAAACTCTGTTTAAGTATAAACAAAGAAGGCCTGGGCTATTCTGGACCACTTGAGAGCAATCCACCTGGTGGTCAGAAGTTTTCCTTGTGCCGATGTCCCTTCCCCACTTCAGGTCCTGAACCCAAGCAGAGGCTGGACCCTGGAATTAATCAGTGTAGGAAGATCCAGCCCGCAACAGGCGACACCATTCCCTAGGAGGGAAGCCCTGGACTGGATGAGTGGATAAACGGAGCTGAACTCAAGCAGCTAAGCATCCTGTACTTATTTCTTTCTGCATGTGAGTGGGATATGACCAGTTGTTTCAGGTTCCTGCCTGCATCTCCACCTATGACTAGGAGCTGCTTCAGGTTCCTGCCTTAATTTCCCTACTGACAGACTGTAACCTGGACTCGTGAGCTAAAAGAAACCATTTCTCCTCGAAGTTCCTGTTGGAATATTTATCATAAAAACAAGTTAAACTAGAAGAGAGTTGGGACTGAGGAAATAGGGCTGTTGCCATGACAGACCTGACCAAGGAGCTTTTATGCCTTTGGACTATTTTCTGGGAGAGTTTGGAATTGCAGGCTCGACAGGTGAAGTGGCAGCAGCAGGGCTTCACAGGCTGAGGGGAGTGCTGAGGGTGCCGGAAGCGGGAAGAGCTGCACAGGCTGAGGGGGAGTGCTGAGGGGGCGGGAAGAGCTGCACTGAAAGCACAGCTTAGCACTCGGTGTGATGAGCACATTGACAGGGGCTCACAGAAAGACTGGGGTCTGCGGAGAGCCTGTGACAGGACAGGTAAGACGCAGGGGACGACATCTGAACTAGGTCTTCAGAGATCAAACTTGAACCACACACACAGTCGAGAGTCTACGTCTCTTTCCTGTAATTACGACAAGTGAGATGCCTTCTTAGCCACCGCCATCTCACTGTGCTCTCATCCACGTGGCCATCTTGTGACACACACGAAATGCCTTCTATTTGGCCAGCAAACAAGGGCAGGAAGGACTGAACGCCTCACTCGGGGATTTGGTTTTCTATGGCAGATTCACATTGTGTTTTGCCCCATTCACCCCTATAACATAGGAGAGTCCTTCTTTTTGGGGTTTAGTGGTTCAACAGGTCTGGAAGAACTTGGGTAGTTGATGCTCCCTTGTGTTCTGTTGCTGGGAGAAGACAGGAGGTTTAGCATGTCAAACGGTAAAGGCAGAACCACAGTGGATGGCTTCTCCGTGGACAGTGACTGCAGAGTGTGCAGGTATCGAAGCTGAGCAGCAGCTGGGGTGCCCGACAGAATCTCGGCTGCCATCCTCAGGGACTCCGAAGCAGCCCTTTCCCCTTCTGCAGCAATCATCTACAGAACATATACGGAGAAAAGCAACGTGATCATGCTTCTTTATTTCATGAGGGTTTTAAGTGCTCGCCATTGAGTGTGACCCAGAAAGCAAGTACCACACATCTCCGTGGCAGGCACTGTCAAACTGGGGCACTAGACTCAGTCTCTCTCTGACGGATTGTGATGTAGAGGGAACAGATTAAACTAGCAATCAAAATTGAAGGTGGATTTTGTTACAGGTGATGACAAGGATACATGAAGTGTAGGGAGTTGTTAATGTGTGGGAGGCTTGAAAACTTAGGAGGCTCTTGCTTGCTGTGTGGAGGACAAGTTGGTCTGAGTTCTGGTGACAGACATGGAATTATAACTCGGCCACAAAAGAATGGGTAAACATTTCAGAAGAGAAAGCTCTTGGACCCTGTCTCACAGATGCCACTGATCGTTAGGCACTGGTAACTGGCTCAGAGACCCAGATGCCATTGTGCCCGAAAAGGCCTCCTTCCTCTTTCCCCCCTCCCTCTCTTGGAGTCTTTTGTTATTGATTCTTCTATGTGATTAGAGTCTTTTTCTTCATGCACTCAGTTATCTGAAAGGAATCTGCCTCTTTTCATCCCTCCATTATCCTAGGGGTGACCAGGCCTCGGCCATCCAGGGACAATCCCAGCACAAGAGAGGATGGATGGCAAGGGGAGATTTTAAGGAGAGAGGGTGGAAGGAAAGGAGGGGGACATGTTAGCAGGAAATTTGGGGGGAGGTTGAGATACTGCAAGATCAGTGCTGTATACACTCTGTCAACAGTGCTGGGGTTGACAGAACTGAGCCAGATTCTGCTCAGTTCCCAGGCCAATGTGGGAGAGCGCAGGGGAGACATTCTCCACCAACAGGCCTTCGCTGGGTCTGCTCTTCATCTGAAGATGCTCTTCAGAGGCAGGGGTGGGAGGATGGAGTGCTCAGGAATGGCTCACCCGCACTTTGGCCTGTCTCTGAGCCTCAGCTTCCACAGCCAGAGAGTGCTGAAGACCAGCCGGCAGCCTCACATCCTTACTAAAAAAGAAGACAGCGTAAGTTTGTGCCCTGACTGTGCACCAGGGCATTCTCACAGACTTTCCTACTGTTGTTCCACGAATAGCAACTTTTTTTAAAATTAAAGACATAGTTTATGTGTATTAGTATTTTGCCTACATGTATGTCTGTGCACCATATGCATGCCTATCACTCATGGAGAATAGTAAATTCTAGATGAGAAGATAGAGCTGTCCCTAGAGTTGGGACGTGGAAGTTAAGCAGGGAAGAGCACATTCGGGGTCTGTGCCAAGTACAGGTACGGCCACTGCAGAGGCTGCATGGGGCCATGACACTCGAGCTACACAGGACATAGTTTCTACTCACAATTTGACGTCATCTTTCTCACTTAAGATTTCATGTAAATTCAAATAATGAAAAACACCCTGGAAGAGCCATACAATTAAAAACAAAAGCCAGAAAAATTCATCTAAGCTTATCAAAGAAAATTGATTTTGAGGAGAAGGAATGAACTAATAAGAACAATTCTAATATAGTGCGTAAAAGACACAGAAGTCAAATTTCATTATAGCACTTTCCGTCACAGTCCCAAAGTGGCTGGGGGAGGAATGTAAAAACAAAATTCTGTATGATCATAAAGTGGGATATTATTTGAGCATAACAGAGAATGGAGTACTGATGGGTGCCATGCCACGAAAGGAAGCAGATGCGAAAGTCTCCATGCTGTGACTCCATTCTGTGAGATCTCCAGAAACAGGCATGGCTACCGAAGCAGAACTGGGGCTGAGGTGAGGGGGTCAGAGAGTTCTTGCTTGTGGGCTTGGGGGGTGATGGAAATGTGAAGTCAGGACTAAAACCACTAAGCTAATTCCAAAACATGATTAAATGTTGTTTTTATGTAAAAAGACCCCAATGTGTAATTAGAAACTGCAATACAGTTCTCTCAGAGGTCATAGCAATTTCATCTTGGCAATAAGATGTCAGGTCAGTTTTCTCTAGTATTAATGTGGCTGCAGAATTTGAAATGGTTTTTCAAATACTGTTCTTTCTGGTTATTTTCCTACCTACATTTCAGTTCTTTCCACTTTGATGCCCCAAATACAGGTCACTGAATCCAAGGCAACCTGTGGAGGGAAGAATTGAGACATCAGTGAGACCTGCTCCCCAGGTGAAATCATAGCCTGTCCCCGCTGTGCTCAGAACAGGTGCTTTCACAGGGCTCTGCTTCCCAATGTCACCGCGTCTGAGACAGAGTTGTTTAACTTGCACAGTGCTATTGAATAATCACTGGATCTAAAGACGATGTAGGAACCTGAATAACGTTCATCAAAGACGTTCATGTCACTAGGGCCCATGACTGCCACCCAAGAGAACTGTAGGATGTGACTAGATCAAAGGTCCTTGAAGGATATAATCACAAGTGTCTTCATCTGAGAGAGGTGTTGTGATGAAGGGATGGTGCTCTGCAGAGGAGGAACGCAGGTGGATCTAGATGCCCAGAAAGGCAAAGTATTGGATTCTGTCTGAACCTCCAGAAGGAAATTGCCTGGTGATGCCTGGACTTAAGCCCAATGAAGCTGATTCTGTACTCTGGTCTTCAGGATCACGAAAGAGTTCAGGAAGCTGTGCTGTTTCGAGCCACTGGGTTTAGGAACATTTGCCATATGAGCAGAAAGGGAACTAGTACAGATAGCACATCTTTTTTTTCCAGTTTGTTTTAAAATTCACTCCTTAAATAACCAGCGTGTCTGGGCTCAGAGCCTGCCAAACGGCTAACATTTCTAAGGTACTTTCTCTTTCCCAGTGCTGGTGGTATTAGGATTCCCCTACTTCTTAGTCCTCTCTGCCCCTCGTGACTGAAGTTGGAAGTGTAGCTAAGAAAAAATGAACTGGGTTCTGAAATGGGTGAGGGGCAGGGTTTGGAGCTCTTCGTGTTGGGAAACTTAGCTTCCGACCATTTCTTAGTGGATACGCACTAATCTCAGTACACTGCAAACCCTAAGAGGACCAACTAATTAGAGGAGGCAAGTGTGCGTAAGAAATGTGAAGAAATACATCGGAGATGAGCTGGCATCGCAAGGAACAAACAAGGTTTGTCCTGGGGGGGAGAAGGCAGGAATTCCAGGCAGAGCAAAGAGCTGAGAGGAAGCCAGAGGAGTGGAAGCTGCAGGATGGGCGAACGCTACGCAGGTGGGGGTGCTGGACTGTGGAGAAAGTGTGGGGGGAGTGAGGCCACAACAGTTGGGCCAGTTCTCGATTCATCCCAATATTCTGCACTGTGGCAAGTCCACGGAATTCATAATCTGGGGAGACAGGTATATACATGCCTAAATTACAACTCGCTGCAACAAAACAGAGCTTGGATCTCAGCACCTGGCCTTTCTCCTTCAGAGGAGAGAGAGGAACAAAGAGACCGAAGGGAACAGTGGGGGACATGCAGAGTGGCTCAGATGTCAATGGCGGAGCTCCTGAGCGTATCACCCATCTTTATCTCTTTTTACCTCTTTCGGCTTCTCTGTATCTTCCAGCTCCTTCAATTTCCCTCAAGATAGGAATCCTAGTTATTAGCAACACTCTAGACAAGACAGACATCTGGACACTGCGTGTTTTTTTCAGGTTCTATAAAGCAGTCATTTCAGTGTCTTTGGTTCTCCTGGTTCCTTCATTTCACATCTTTCTTCCTACAACCTCCCAATCCAATTTTGTTGTCTCCATGACTTCAATACTGAGTGGGTCCCTGGTGGTAATTGTCACCTGACTGGCCAGCTGCCTGCAGCCCTGCTTTGTTCTCTGTCTTAATCTCTCTCTCTCTCTCTCTCTCTCTCTCTCTCTCTCTCTCTCTCTCTGTCTCTGTCTCTCTGTCTCTGTCTCTCTCTCTGTATTGGTGTTTTCCCATGGGTGTCAGGTCCCCTGGAACTGGAGTTACAGACAGTTGTTAGCTGCCATGTGGGTGCAGGAACTTGAACCTGGGTCCTCTGGAAGAGCAGTCAGTGCTCTTCACCACTGAGTCATCTCTCTGGCCTGTCTTAGTACCTCTTGCCACCATGTCATGGTAATAGAGGCCTCTACCCTGGCTGTGGATGAGACTGTAGAGCTGGCTGCCTGTGGACTCAGTAAGACTGCTTATAAGGGACTTTCCTTTTTCGTTTTGGTGTGCGGTGTGTGTGTGTGCATGCATGCCCATGTTTGTGAATAAGACAGCCCTAGGTCAACACTGAGTGTCTTTCTCTATTGTTCTCCACTTTATTTCCTGAGATAGGGTCTCTCATTGAACTGGACTAGTTGGCTAGAGAACCACACCCCCACCCTGGCTCTGCCTCCTTGAGCCGGGCCACATTGCTACGTCCACTCTTTACATGGTTTCTGGGGATCTAGAATCAGGACCTCATGCTTGCACAGCAAGCTCTTTACCTACTGAGCCATCTCTCCAGGGGCAGTTTTTACTTTTTTTCCCCCATTTTTTCCCCATTTTTGATTTTTCGAGACAGGGTTTCTCTGTAGCTTTAGAGCCTGTCCTGGAACTAGCTGTAGACCAGGCTGGCCTCGAACTCACAGAGATCTGCCTACCTCTGCCTCCTGAGTTCTGGGATTAAAAGCGTGTGCCCTTTAACCACCACTGGTGGCAGTTTTTACTTTTATTCTCCCCTCTGTATGAACAAATTGGCAGTCAATCATGAAAGGGTGTGTGATATCTGGACTCCGAAAGTAGTCCTTGAATTTACTCTTGTTTACCTTTGAGCACACCATGCTTTTCTCCCCAGGTAGACTCGGCGTCTGGGAACCACGCCTGCTCATCTCAGTACATCGCCATCAACCATCCTGCCCATCCCCACCAGTCCTACCCTTCCTGCCTATGGCTGCTGCCAATACCTGGTACTATGCTGGAATTTCACTTGTGCTTAAGGTCACTGGGGCGTGACCTTGGGGAAGGGAGGGAAGCGAATCTGTACCCAGACTGATGATGTCATTGACTGCTCAGGGCATCTTCTATGGCCAAATGCCTTGCACGTGGCAAACTCAGCAAATGACCAATTCATCATTAAACTCATCTTGGTACCTTTACATCTTGGGCAATGCTCTTCCTCTCCAGGAGAATTTCCGTGAGGGTTCGATGTGCCAAGAGGCGCTTCATGGTGGTTTGCACCAGGAACTGGATGGCTTTGGGCACGTGAGCGAGACTGCTCAGGAGAAGGGAGGCGTTTTCCATGCGGTAGTAGCAGACGGCATCTAGCTCCATTATGAACATGTCTTTGGTTACCACCTAAGCAGAACAAAGTTGGAATGCAGGCCAGATTCCTGGACTCCTTCCTGTGTGGGAGACAGGAACTAAGTGCATTTAAAATGCCCTTTCCAGGAGTAAGACTATCGTAGGGAAAAACAAAAGCGTAGTGGGAAAATTGACTCTTTATTCAAAATGATATTTTTTTAATGCATGAAGTTTTATCAAGTACACTAAAGAGTCAAGCCTAATGATGTTTGCCTCTGGGAGGAAGAAGAAGACAGAGGAGGGAAGAGGACCGGGGAGAACATGAACACAATCTAGGCTCAGAAGAAATACATGAAAGAACTCATAATTTAAAGAAATCTTGTTAGAGATCCCTTTATAAAAAAAGAAACCAAGAATAATTTTCTCATATGAAAACATTCAATAGATTTTATGTCAAGGTCTTCCTCGACTGATGCCCAATGGGTTTCCTGAAAGGGAGCCATGTTCTAGGACAGAAAGACTCCCATATACACTTATTGGGGTGACGTCAGAGGACAAGCTGGGGATTCCCATCAAAAGCCCCATCTGCTCTGTGGTTTTTATGTCACCTTGACACACGCTAAGGTCATCTGGGAAGAAGGAATCTTAACGGAGAAAATGCCTCCATAGGACTGGCCTGTGGGCAAGCCTGTGGTTCATTTTCTTGAGAGATGATTGATGTGGGAGGGCTCAGCCCATTGTGGGTGGTGCCACCGCGGGAAGGTGGTCCTGCGGTGTGTAAGAAAAGAGAACAGACTGGGAGGAGCAAGCCGGTGAGCAGCATTCCTCCGTGGCTCCTGCTCTAGTTCCTGCTCCCAGGCTCCTGGGCTGACTACCTTTCCCTGTAGTGACTACACACTTTGATAATGATGCTTTCGATTCTGATGTAGTCCGCACCTCTGCTTCTCTTTCCGACCTTTGATCATAGTTACTCTGCCTAGGGATTGAGTTGGACGGTCGACCATGGACTCATCACGAGAAAAGCAAGCATACTGTGCATCTCACCTCATGGAAAGGTATCTCCAGGGTCTGGAGACGGAGGTCAACCTTGTGGTAGGTGTCCAGGCATGGCAAATAAAAGAACAGGCCTACAAGAAGGCATGAGGAAAGTAACAGGTGACCGGCAAGTGTGAAGACTGCTGGGGATGGTCTTTTCGGCGCCAAGCTGCTTTGCTCCTCTTAGCCCCCATTACCCAGAGATCACTGGGCAGCTCACTATAACTAAATACTGTATAATTCATTATTTGACTGTGACACTTTTGAAAGTAAAAGCAGGGTACATTATTAAAGCTAAGCTCAGCATGTCAGGTATAAACAGACTATTTCAGAAAACTAGACCACTTGGTCACTCACAGGGACCCTTCCGGATCTCTGGCACATCTGTCTCTGCTCTAGACTCAAGCTCTGTGAGTACAGTGTCATACGCATGAACATTGACTTAATGTTCATGAACATTAACCTTAGTGGAGCCTTGTAGGTGCTGTGTACGATTGTTTTACTATGACTGTACTGGCACTTCAGCATGGATCTGACAACTTCTGTGCTACTTCTGAAAATGTGAGCCCCAGGATCTCAGAATAGTGATTTGTGGTGGTTGGTTAGCCCTCATTACCCCAGACAGTATACAGATTCAATACACAGTATCTATAGATTGGATAATTGAAAGTTTCCTAAAGCCCCTTGGATGATTTGGGACTGTGGTGGTTTGGATTGGATAAGAATGGCCCCCATAGGCTAATATATTCAAATGCTTAGTCACCGGGAAGTGGCACTATTTGAAATGATTAGAAGAATTAGGAGATGTGGCCTTGTTGGAGGAAGTATGTCGCTGGGGGTGGACTTTGAGGTTTCAAAAGTCCATGCTAGGCCTGGGCGCGCGCTCTCTCTCTCTCTCTCTCTCTCTCTCTCTCTCTCTCTCTCTCTCTCTCTCTCTCTCTCTCTCTCTCTCTCTGTCATAGGTCAGAATATAGCTGTCAGCTACTGCTCCAGCATCTGCCTGCATGCTGCCACTCTCCCCAGCACGATGATAATGAACCAAGCCCCTGACTAAATGCTTCCTTTTATAAGGGTTGTGTGGTCATGGTGTCTCTTCACAGCAATAGAACAGTGACTAGGACAGGCACCCTTCAAGAGCCCCAGCTTTGTGGAAACTGGTAGCAGCACTCAGTGCCCAGGGTGTATGGGCGAACAGCTGCCCCAACAGAGAAGGTTCCTGAAAACAAGGGCCATAGAAAGATGGTGTGCTCAGGAGCGCTGGAGTCTGGGTCTGTTTTCTGTGGACTTATATACTGAGAATCCCGAAACTCTGATCCGTGTCTCCTGGATGGCTCTCCATTTTTAACTTGTTCTTGCAGGTGCGGTTGAGAGCTCAGACTCACTCAGTGTATGTGTAGTGGGACTTCGTTCTTTCTTATGCCCTCTCGGCTGTCTCAGATCTCCAAATCCAAACTTCTCAGACTACCCATACTTCTTGCGACATGCCCCCCGGCCAGGTTGGACCTCCTCTGGATTTTCAGGTCCTAGAGATCAGAGACCACCTTATTCCTCTAGTCCTTGCTAGTCAGAGCTCAGTCTAAAACAATGGAAGGGTTCCATATATGTCTCTTCTACCAGCTAAAGACATATTTGTTACTAGATGCTGAATTTTGCTTGACTTCCAAGATCTAATCTGCCTCAGTCCCCAGTTCAGAACCAGCTCAGATTTTCTCTGAGAAGTCACTGGATTCTGACTACACACACACACACCGTACTTAGAACAAGCATTAGCCACAGGTCTGTAGTTGCCTTGCTGCTCCAATTAGACTAGCCCTGGTGTGTGGCTCTCTGCACGTGTCCTCTCTTGGTCACCTGTTACCTATCAGTAATGTTTTTCAGAGAATTTCATGACAATCTGCCCTATAATGAACACATTGGAAATACAGATCTCGTGACTCAAACAACTTCATGTAATCTAAGACATGGATCATGACTATGTATGGACTAAAGAAATCAACAAATCCTGGGGTGGGATGAGAATTTAAAAATCATGGAGGGTAATTCTTACCAGGGCCTTTGGCTCTTCCAGGGAGCAGATGTCCCAGTCGGAATATAATTACCCTTTCATACTCTTGTACAACCTAAAGGGAAAAGCAGTACTTTGAAATACTTTATTTTTTTAAAAAAGATTCAAAAAGATCCTTTGCATGGGAGTGATTTTAGGTTACAGAAATTTTTGTTAGTCATGTGTGGTGTCACACGGCAGAGGCAGAAGCAGGTGGATCTCTGTGAGTTTGAGGCCAGCCTGGTCTACAGAGTGAGTTCCAAGACAGCCTGGAATACATAATGAGACCTTGTCTCAAAAAATTCTTTTTTTTTAAGTATACAGTATTCTCAGTACTCTGCCTGCAGGCCAGAAGAGGACACAGATCTCATTACAGATGGTTGTGAGCCACCATGTGGTTGCTGGGAATTGAACTCAGGACCCTTGGAAGAGCAGGCAGTGCTCTTAACCACTGAGCCATCTCTCCAGCCCCTCAAAAATTTTTTTTGAGAACTAAGAACAATGCTAAGCATGGTAGTTCATACCTAATATCTCATCACTAGGGGGAGGCAGGGCAGGAGGATCACCTGTATGGTCTACATAGCATGTTCCAGGACAACCAATGTTACACAGACCTTGTCTCAGTAGGCAGGTAGGAGCTAGAGAGACTGCCCAGTGGGTAAAGCATTTTCTGTACAACTGTAGTAAGGACCTGAGTTTGAAAGAGTCATTTATTTGTTATACATACAGTGTCCTGTCTACATGTATGTCTGAAGGCCAGAAGAGGGCATCAGACATTATTGCAGATGGTTGTGAGTCACTGTGTGGTTGCTGGGAATTGAACTCAGGACCTCAGGAAAAGCAGACAGTGCTCTTAACTGCTGAACCATCTCTCCAGCTCAGGATCTGAGTTTGAATCCCTAGAACCCAAGTAGAGCTGGACATGGTAATGCATGTCTGTAACCCAAGTGCTCCTACAGTAAGACTGCAGGCAGAGACAGAAAAAGCGGAGAAGCCTGTGGGCCTGCGAGCCTGATGCAGACAACAAACAACAAGAGACCTGTCGTAAACAACGTGGAAGGTGAGAACACCTGAGGGTGTCCTCTGCCCTCCACCTGTACACTGAGGCATGTGTGTTCCACCCTTTACACACACACTCACACACCGTGGGATGGCAAACAGGGAAATGGTCTTTAGCCTTAGAGGAAAAGGAGAGGCAATTGCGTTAAGTGAAATGAACCAGGAAAAGTCAAATACTGCACAGTTTTGCTTTTACATGGAAGCAAAGAGCATATGATGGTTATCAGAACCTGGGGATAGGGAAACGGGAGCTGTCGAGCAAGGGGTAAAGGTTCCACTATGCAGGATGCATGCATCCTGGGATCTACTGTAGGGTACGGTGATTATGGTGACTCTGTTCTATTTGTATAGTATAATACTATATTTGAAATTTACTAGGAGAATCAACTGGTCTGAAGTGTTTTGCCACACAAAAATCTTAACTGAAAGGGATGCCCATGTTAGTGTGATTGTGGTAATATTTTCAAATATATATGCATATCAAAACATCACACTGTGACTGGGATATATGTTGGTGGTAGAATACTTTCCTGGCATACCTTCAGGTCTGGGTTTGATTCCTAACAACTATCAAATCTTCAGAAATTCTTCCAAACTACAGAACACTGAGGAAAATCGCAATATATTATCTGTGGCTAGTATGACTATGCTCCATGAAAGCAAATAACAGACATCACAAAAAATTACACAACCATCTCTCTTATAAATATAGATGCAAAAACCCAAACAAATGACCAGCAGCCTAAATCCAGTAACATTTAAAAAGATTTTATATTACGACCAAGTGGTGTGTGTGTGTGTGTGTGTGTGTGTGTGTGTGTGTGTGTGTGTGAACAAGTGTGGATGTGGAGGCCAGAGGGCAATGGGAAGCCTTAGCTGTTGTTATCAATCCCATCTGCCTTGTTCTTTGAGTCTCTCATTAGCCGGGAGCTCAGAGAGCTAGGCGGGTCAGCTGTCGAGCCCCAGGGACTGACCTGTCTTCATCTCACCTGCTGGCAGTTTCACATCAACCTGACATAAGCCAGAGTTGTTAGACAAGAGGGAACTTCAGCTGAGAAATGACCTTGCCGGACTGTCCTGTGCACAAGCCTGTGGTACATTTTCTTGACTGATGACTGATAGGAGAGGGTGCAGCTCACTGTGGGCAGTGCCATCCCTTGATTGGTGGTCCTGGGTGCTATAAGAAAGCAGGCTGAGCAAGCCATGATGAGCAAGCTAGTAAGCAGCATCCTCCATGGCCTCTGCATCAGCTCCTGCCTCCTGGATCCTGGCTGCCTTCCAAGACAAACTGTGATATGGAAGCCTAAGTGAGAGTAAGTCCTTTCCTCCCCAAGTTGCTTTTGGTCATGGTGTTTCATCACAATAGAAAACCCAACTAAGACACCTTCATAGTGCTAGGTACAATTACAAGAGTGCACTACAAGGCCTGGTTTTTGTTTGTCTGTTTGTTGCTATTTCAAGACAGGGTTTCTTTGTGTAGCCCTGGCTGTCTTGAAACTTGCTCTGTAGACCAGGCTGGCCTTGAACTCACAGAGATCCACCTGCCTCTGCCTCCCAAGTGCTGAGATAAAAGGCATGCCCCATCACTGCCCCATGTTTATCTGTTTGTTTGTTTTCTATGTGGGTTCTGTGACTCAATATCAAGTCTGCAGCAAGCACCTTATCAACTGATCCTAGAATGAACAAGCATAATACATTATATCAGTATAGAATAGATTAAATACCACACGAAAATTTAAATAGATCCGAAGTAATTGTGGGCTACAATTCAATGCAGTCTAGTGGGAAGAGTGGGAGGAGGGGCTGGAAAAGGCACAGCTATGAGGACTAGGACAAATACCAGCACTAATTGCATCTGTGCGTCCAGCCTCAGCCTCACTCTTCCTTGGCAGCTCCAGTCAACAAAGAAAAATGATTGGCAGGAAGCAAACTCTGCTTTGGGTTCCCTTTCAAGTGGGCGGTGGCTGTCTGAGAGCTGCATCATACACTGTCTAGCGTTCTTTCTGTCCAGGTCTCCCACTTCTGAACCAACTGTCAAACTGTCATCAAAGGTGTCCCCTCCTTATTTATTTATTTATTTATTTATTTATTTATTTATTTGTTGAGACAGCTCCGGCTGTCCTGAAACTCACTCTATAGACTAGGCTGGTGGCCTGGGGAACCCACAGAGACCTGCCTGCCTTCCCCTGCCTACTCTTGTTCTCTGTCTAAATGCCTCGAGCTTCTAATTCACCTCAGCAAGTGCTTTCTGAGCTACCTAGGTTTTCATTTAATTCTGAGATTAGTGTAAATAAAACACTGGGAACCAAAGAAATTGTCTCTCCTGATCTGTAGAAGTTGCCTGAGTCGTTACTTTGTGGGGTCAGAGCGCATGATACGTTCTGGGATGCTCTTTAATCATTGAGCATGGATGAACTAGATATAGCTTCTGAAGGATCTCTCAGGCTAACAGGGATACATACATACATATATATAATATTATATAATTTATAATCTATTATATATTACATATAATCTCTATCTAAATGTGTCACCCTTACACACACACACACACACACACACACCCGCACACTCGATTTGCTGACATATTATCCTAGCCACAACAGAAGAAGGAAGCTTCAGAGTTACACTGAGCCAGGTTTTGAAGGAAGCAGCGCTCTTCTGGAAGGTAGGAGGGCATCAACCACTGAGAGTGGCCTAGTTGGCCTATGAGAGACAACAGAAGACCTCTTGGGTCATGTCAACACTCACCTTTATGCAGAACCAGATGGAGAAAGGGAAAGTTAGGATGATGAAGAACAGGGAGGCGAGGACAAGCAGCCACTCACAGGCTCCGAACCCAGAGGGCTTGACACCTAGGAAAACAATGATATCAATCATCACCATATTTACTGAGCAGTATTTATCAGTCTAGTGCTAGCACTGGAGTCGGAACAGTTTGGAGATATGTCTGGAGAAACTGGTATGAGCCAGATATCAGAATGATCAGAGTTCCCAGGGCTGGGGTATACTGTCTGTGTGATGGATTGTGTGGGCTGTGGAAGGTGGGATAAACTTCTGGACAGGCAGGGGATCTCGGGGGTCAGGAGGCTGGCGGGGGCAGTTGGTTCCATCATTTCATGTCCATCGATGACTTTTAAGCAGAGCACAGAACCTCTTTAAAGCCCAATTCCCTCACCAATACAATGGGATGTCGATTAATTCCAATCCCACAAGAGCCAGCTCCTGAGCTATAGCCGACATGCCTGGCACACACATAAAGAAGCCTGCTCATGCTTGACATGTCTCAGGTTTCGCTGGGTGAAGTGTCTAGAAGTTCCTGGCGCTGCCTGCCTTCGTGTCTGAAATTCTCCCATTAGAGTCCCTTTACTGGAGTAGGGTGTTTCTTAGTCCTTGGAAACCACCTATTTGGCATATCAGTCTGTGTCTGTTCACAGGTTTTATGGAACTGGGGCTCCACATCCAGGATGCTCTGACTCTCCAGAGAACGGCTGGCTTTCAGGGCTTTCAGTGCCAGTTCAAGTGTCCCACTGTCTGGAATGGGAACCTGTTTCTCTGCCTTTCTAGCATTACCCGGACCATCATGTAAGCCAACCCACTACACCCTCCCCTGTTGATTCTGTTCTTCTAGAAAGTTCTGCCCAATACTAGCAAGTTGTTTAATTTCTCTAAGCATTTTCCCTCATCTGTGATGGTATGCGACTAAATAATTCAAAAACAAAACGCCCAGCGTGTGCCTGTCACCTAGAAAGGACTCCACAAACAGGACACCCTTCCTTGCCCCCTTCCCTGCTGTGGTCTGGCACAAACTAACTTGCATTTTTTTTTTTTTTTGATTTTCGAGACAGGGTTTCCCCGTAGCTTTTGGTTCCTGTCCTGGAACTAGCTCTTGTAGACCAGGCTGATCTCGAACTCACAGAGATCCACCTGCCTCTGCCTCCTGAGTGCTGGGATTAAAGGCATGCACCACCACCGCCCGGCCTAACTTGCATTTTTATAGCATTGAAGCCAATAACTTCTAAGGACCAAAGGGTTATCAGGCAAAAAGTACACACATGGTCCATTTACACTGTAGCTCAACTGCATGAGGCTTCCGTAAATAGTTGCTTTCTATGATCCAGCATATATCACACTGCTGGTAACTAGAAACATTAAATCTCCACATGCCAGCAGACATCAATGTAACATGCTGTTTCTTAATTTCGTCAAACATCCGCTATTCTTTGAGTATAATGGTTTTTTTTTTCTTAAATTTGCTATGAAAAGGACCAGAAGTAGATAGATACATTTCTCCCTAAGAGTTGTGGCATCCACGGAGGTGAAAAGGACCCCTTTCTTTGCATTCTCCCCTGTGATATGGTGGTGTTCTCTTTTAGCTGAGATTGTGCAAGGTGCATTGGAGGACTTACTTTATTCTCACATCTACCCTATGAACATATATTGTGTCCACATGGCTGACAGAGAATGCTCTTTCTGTGGTTACACTGCTGGCAAGTGGCTAGGCTGAAATTTAAACTCAGGTTTGGTTCTTTGGGCTCTGCTGCCAGGGCGGAGTGGGGGAGGCTGGGCGAGGATGAGAAGAGCCACACGGTTGTTGCTCAGAGCCTCCACATTGTATCCACGGGTCCTTCCATGACCACATACGTCACCACCGTGGTTCCTTTGCATGTTGACTGGGCCAGCCCTGAATCACTCTCTCTTCCAATTCCCATCCATTGGGCAAAAGGAACAAACTATTTGGCTGATATTGTTATTTGTACTTCGACTGATGCGCTTTGGTCTCCGCCACTGAGTAACCACCTTAACTCACGCCTGCCTTTCTTTTCGCAGACACTGGAATCTTGGACGCAGTCTGACTTTGCCACAGTGGGGTAACTCACTCCACTTGTCTGATCTCTCCCTCCTCCACACCTTCCTCTGGTCGGACCTGCCCTCCATACCTTCCTCTGGTCGCTCGCTCTCCAGCAGCGCCAACACTTCGGTGCCCTCCTCACCAGAGCCCCGAACCTCGTCCACGTCCACTACGGTGGCGCTGGCGGTGGCGGTGGTGGCGGCGGCGGCGGCGGCGGCGGCGGCGGCGACTCGGGGTTCTCCCCGGGTCCCGGTCCGCCCGGCTCTCCGCCGCTCTGACCCAGCATCCGGGCGCGTGCGGCCTCCGCTGCCCCTCCCGGCCTTCGCCCTCTTGTCCTCCCTAGAAGAAGATCTGCCACCTCGCCCGTGGGCCTCTCTGGAGGAGCTCCGCGCCCTGCTGTCCATTCTCAGCGTGGAGGGCGGGTGCGGCCCCGGAGCCAGGTGCTGGCAGAGCAGCAGCCTCAGCTTTCTGAGCCGCTAGGGAGCGACCCCAGGACCCTAAGTAGGACCGTGGGGTCGGGAGGGGCGAGGGGCGGGGCCGGGGTGGCTCCCCCCCCCCTCCGCCAATTAAACCCAACAGCTGTTCCTTAGGTCTGGACAGAGCTCGCGGATCCGCAAGACAGGGCGGGATGCTCTCAGAGGACCTGGGTGGGAGAACCCTGGTGCCACCGCACCAGGCAGCTTCGAGGATCAGGTCCGCGAACTAAAAAGGGAAGGTAGTTCTGCTTTGCTGGTTAACAGTGGTGTAAAATAGGACACGGGGTACTAGGGGGGTCTGCTTTAATTTCTGTTTACAAAGGTTTTCTTTTGTCTCCTAGGTCCTGTTCCTATACTTTCTTGAAGGCAGGAGTTCGGGGGTTTCAAAGTTCAGTGGCCAAACAGCTTCTAGTAGCAAACCAGGAGTTGTCTTACCTTTTCCTGGGGAACTTGACAGGGCTATAGGTGTTTTTGTATTCCATTGTTTCTCTCTGAAACGGAAGTGTGTCTAAATAACTTTTAAGGCAAACTTCACAATTCTACTCCAGTAGAATTAGCCCGTGTTGATAGAAATGTTCATTTATTTAGTGTTTGATATTGATTTCACACATGCCTTTTTTCCTCTTAAAAACTTTTATTTAGAAAATTTTAGTAGCTGGGCAGTGGTGGCACATGCCTTTAATCCCAGCACTTAGGAAGCAGAGGCGGGTGACTCTCCAAGTTCGAGGTCAGCCTGGTCTACTGAGTGAGTTCCGGGACAGCCAGGGTTGTACAGAGAAGCTCTGTCTCAAAAAACCAAAGTAAACAAATAAAAAACTCCAGTAATGAGAACTTGAAATAAATTAACCTTGGAAACTATTGGGTTTTTTCATGTGTTTCAGATAGCCACGGGAATACAATAAATATTTAGTAACCAAGTAACTTGAAATTAAACTAAACCCTGACCCTAATTTTTTGAAATATTTCAAAAATTATTTTATGTACAGATGTTTTGATTGCATGTATGTCTGTGTACCTTGGGTATACCTGACACCTGTAGAGGCCAGAAAAGGGCAATAGATCCCCTGGAACAGAAGTTATAGACAACTCTGTACTGCCATGTGGATGCCGGGAATCGAACCTCGGTCCTCTAGGACAACAGCCATGCACTTAACTGCTTAACACCTATCCAACCCTTGACAATGATTCTTGTAAGCTGTAAGAGAGGGCAAATATTTCAAAAATCTGGCTCATTGAATACTTCCTGCCTAGAACAGCACAGTGAGAAAAATTCTGAAGTTGCCTTTGATTCACAGAGAAAAGCACTATGAATTTCTTGTCCACTTTGAAAGCAATATAAGCACCTGTTTTCTAGTTGGCTGGGGTGACGAATGGGTGAAAGTATCTGGAAAAAAATGCATGATGGTCCCTGATAAAACAGCCAACTTAGCATTCTGGAGGTGGAGGAGTTGGGGAGGCAGAGCAGAGTCAGCAGTGAGCACTGCTGGTCAGCCTCCTCTATGATTACAATGATGCTGGTATTTTCCTTCAGATTCCTTCTTAATTGAAAATGCTGCGCATGCCTTTGTTGACACTAGTCCACACAGTCAGAAGACTTTAATACTTACTCCTTCTTTGACGTCTATAGGAATGGGGCAGCTGGAAGGAGGAGGAACTCATTGTTGACTTGAGCGCAAGATGCAAGAGCCGGAAAGATTGCAGGGTGCTGTGCTTCCTCCCATTTAGTGCCTTCAGATTTGATACCCAAAGAAAAGAAGGGGTCGACATACATCTATACAGATTATTTCATGGAACACAAACAGAATTTATTGTCATTAGATAAAAGTTCAAATACCGTTTGAGACCTGGCAGCTACGAAGATGTGTTAAATTTGACTTTTTCAATTTTCAGATGTCAGATTGACCAACTCTGGGAGAACAGCAGTGTCCAGGGTAGTGATCCAAGGCTTTGGGATGGGGATGGTGTAGATTTAGGAAATATTTCTGGTGGAAGATGACCAGATGATATTCTGTATCTCTATGTAAAGTGATATAAGTACCTGGCAGTCTCTTGAGGTTATGGGACTTAACAAAGGACAAGAGGCGATTTATTAAACTGAGCAATTTTATTGTATTCATTTTATTTTATTTTTAGGTTTTTTTTAGACAGGGTTTCTCTGTATAGCCCTGGCTGTCCTGGAACGTGTGCTATACACTAGGCTGACTTCGAACCCAGACAGCCTCCTGCCTCTGCCTCCTGAGTGCTGAGATTTAAAGGCACCAGTACTCTCTGGCAGACCCGCCTACTAGAGCAGGGATCGTTACATCACTGCTGAAATCAGCTTCCTCTTGTTGATTCGGTGCAGCTGGGTTAGAGCCCAAGGCTCTACATTTTTAATGTGTCCCTTGGTCAGCAAAAGACAGGATGGTTTATACTGAGTGCTGAACAGTGGAAGAAAAGGCAGAAAAAAACTCTAATGTGGACTGTTTAGTCAAGGAGTTGGCTGAGAAGGAGACGCAGGAGAGGGATGTAGGTCAAGGGAAGTTTTCCCCCTCCTCAGCTTGCTCTCCCTCTCTAAGATAAAAATCAGAACATAATTTTATGTTATAGGAGTCTATAAGGAGATGGAAGCAGAATTGTACAAGGATAGCCAAAGAGCAAAATCCTGGTCCAACAGATGCTATGGGGATAGAATAAAGGGGAAGGGACCACACACACACACACACACACACACACGCCTGAAGGAAAGACATGGGGAGGCTAATGCAGAGGCCTGGACTGGGGCTGAGGAGGTTTATATATGAAAACTTACATTTTTAATGGGATTAGAGCATAGTCATTCTCCAATAGTGGTGAAATGGTAGATTAAGATGTCTAGGCTGGAGTCAAAGGTTTGGAGTCATTTCTATGGCATCAGACTTGAATTTGGTATCAAACGGCCCAAACTGGGCCTTAATGTTCAAAAGACTGGGGAGGAGAACAGGAATAATCTATTGATTCCTTCCTGACCTTCCAAATCACCACACCTTCACCATGCTCTTAAAAAGCTCCGCTAAGGCTGAGACTGTAGCTCCCAGTGCTGTGCTTGCCCAGCGGGAACAGAAGCCCTGGGGTCAGCTGCCAGCACTGTCAAAAAGCTTCCCTGTCTTTTCCTGACTTTCCCAAGGCAAGAACGCTTGTAGGAGCAGCTGCAATTGAAATTTACTGCCAGCTTGGAAGCGGTGCTGGGAGGAGACCAGGTGAGGCAGTTATTACCAAACAACAGGTAGGCTATGGTCTTCATAACAGAGGGAGCAAGTGGAGGCCTGACGTGCGCATTTCTCTGGTTCTCTGGTGATAGATGTAGGGTCTGAGGAATGAACTCCTCAAACAACTCAATCACACGTGTGTGTGTGTGGGGCAACAAAAACTGGCAAAACACAGACTCTATGTTTCAACAGCAAAGACTTCCCACATCCTATAAAGACAAGACTTATTACCCTATTTTGAGCACCAACTCCAGGTTCCAGATCCACAACCTTAAAATTAATTCCTTCAAGATTGAAACACTCCAGCCTGAAGGGAAGCTCCAGACAGGAAGGTAAACAACCCATATAGCTTCCAGGAAGTCTCCGAAACTGACCAGATTCATCAGGACCCTCCCCCCCTTCTCTGCTAGAGTATCAATAAAAGTTGAAAATCCCTCTCTGATCTTAGTAAGCCAAACTGCAAAGAAGACCCTGAAACCAGAGCAGCTTCCTGGAAGAAGCAGAAACCAGCAAAGCTGCCTGCGAAAGGTTTAGAAAGGTTTAGACCAACCGAGTCCCTTGGAAAGGACACTCTAACTTGTTGAGCAGCCTGCACACTGTGCAGTGTGTCCCAGGCTCCCAGCTTTTGCGAGCTGTCACTCGTGTTGGCGTAGGCTTTGGTTATGCAGCCGTCCTTAGAGTCACTCCTGCTTCTGTAAGTGACCCCCTCACCCATATTTCTGTAAGAAACCCCAATAAAACTCTTTGGTTCACCAAGCTGGTCTTTGGTGGTGTTTGTACTTTGGTCTGTGGTGGGCTTCCTATCTGGGGTGAGTAGATGTGGGTGCTGCGTCTCCCCAAGAAAAGTTTTGTTATTCAGCCATGGCAAACATTCATCTCAGGCTTTCCTCAAAGATCTCGAGAGCTCTTATGGATATTATAGGGAAGAGAAAATACCCAAACTTTTCAGTGATCACCATTTGCCAGCTCCAAAATTGATTTTTTTTCATTGTATGCTGTTACTATCTTAAGGTCATGTGGCTTAGGCGATAAATGGCATCTTGGTCCAGGTTCACCTTTCATAGGCATAGTGGGACTGAATTTATCATCTAGTTATGAGTCTTAGTTGCCAGGTGAATTGTTGGAATAGCAATTTTAGCAGTGGGTAGAATTCCGACAATGGCATATTCAGTCACGGAGTAAGGTACTTTTGTGATAGGGAACAAAGTGTTGTGGGAAAAGGTACATTGAAAGCAGTATCCCTGGAGCTCTGCAGAGGCATCGTCATAAAGGAAAGACCCCAGTGAGGTGGTCCCCATGCTGTTCCCAACTATAGCTCTTTCCAAAGAAGCAACTGCATCCCGCCCATGCTGTCTCCCAGCTTTTCCCTCCAGTAACCTTTTAAAAATTCAATCACATTTTGGTTTTGCTACCTGTTATGATTAGTTTGTCAGCTCAACACGTAGAGAATCAATGAAAGAGTGTCTAGATCAGGTTGGCCTGTGGGAATGCCTGTGGGAGACTCAGTGTTCCTGTAGGAGACATTCTCACTTTGGCTAATTGAGCTGGCATGCCCCATCCTGAATGTGAATGCCACCAACCTCTGGGCTTGAGCCCTGGACCATGTGAGAATAAAGAAACTTAGTTGATCACTAGACCTGCATGTGTTTACTTCTCTCTACACTCTTGACTGCAGATGTTACTGTTGGGAGCAACTGGGGGCTGTGGAACCCCGGACCCCGAGTTCCCTGTGAGCTGCTTGTTTTCCCTGTGCTTTCAGCTGCTCTGAGCACGAGACCTTGATGGCAGGCTGGGGGGTCTGCCACTGAAAGGCCCTGAGAGCTGGGGCGTGGCCAGAGCCCTATATAAACTTCCCCTGAGCACTCTTGTATCAAGAGTGACCCATGTCTCTGTCTCTCTGTTTGTGTGTCTTTGTGTGTTTTTAAGTCCCCGCATAGTTCCCGGCTAGCGTACTGACCTGTAGTGGCACGGGCGCTATAGGCATAGCACCATATAGCATGTAGTACAGCAAGATCAGGAACTCTGGCTCCCTGAGAAATCACCCATAATTATATAGAAAAGAGGCATTCTTGACACTCTTGTCTCAAGGATATCCCCGTGGCCCATTCTGTCTGTCTGTCTCTGTCTCTGTGTGTATGTTTTTAAATTTTCAGCCTAGTTCCCAGAGAGTGTAGCCAGTAGAGCACAGGAATGGAACCAGTGGAGTTTTACAAATGGAGGCCCTCAGGGACTGCCCTCTGGAATGGTGAGGGTGGATTAAAGATGGGTATGTGTGTTATGTGTGTTTGAGCAAGTCTTTAAAGAGACAGAATGTAGACAGACTGTAAGTCACAAAAGGATGGTGTGTTACTGTGTTGTCCTTTCTGTTTTTTTAAAGAGACAGAATGTAGACAGACTGTAAGTCACAAAAGGATGGTGTGTTACTGTGTTGTCCTTTCTGTTTTTGACTTAAGAAAGACATTTGATTTTGGGAACTGCAGAGAAAGGTA